GCAGCTAGGTGGCACAGTGGATAGAGCACTGGCCCTGGAGTCAGGGGGACCTGAGTTCAAAGTCGGCCTCAGACACATAACACTTAATAGCTGTGTGACCCTGGGCAAGTCACTTAAACCCATTGCCTAGCCAAAAAAAAAAAAAAAAAAAAGAAAGAAAGAAAATAGTACCTTAAACTATATCCTAGGTATTTCTTGACTTATTCAATTAGACTGTAAACTTGTCTAAATGGCAGGAACAATGTCTTCTTGATTTTTTTTTTATATCCTACACAGTATCCTGTACTGAGTTGGGCACATAGCTGTTACTTGATAAATGCTAATTACATTCATTCATTTGAATGGATGAATGAATGGATGAATGAGTGAATAATTTGGCATTCACATGTGGTCAGTCTTTGGTATCCTTTGGAACATTGCTAGCATGTACTGCTAAATCCCTGAAAGCCACCAAAATTCTCACTTGTCTCTCAGGTTCCTTTTGCCTTTGTTTTTGGCAGCTTCTCCGGAGCACAGAGGTGGCGATCATGGCAGACGAAGCCATCATTGAGATCCTCATAAATTTGGTCCAAGAAGATAAGCCAGTGATCCAGCAGCTAGTGCTAAAGGCAGCGGGGAACCTTGGGATCCATAAGGAAACGGTACAGCTTTGGGGAGTGGGGTGGATGGGGGGAGTCAAGGAACCAGAATGTGAGCATTATGCCAAAAAAAGTGCTCTCAGCAGATGCTGCCACCAGGAAGGAGCTGGCCTAGGTGGGGACCTGGGAAAGGGTGCCCAGAATAATTTCCCTAACAGCTAGGACCCTAGGCACATGCCAAATGTCCTTAGAGAATTGTAGACAAGTGGGATTGGAAAATCCTTCAATGCTTAGATAGATACTGCTGGAAGTTGGTGGAATCCTCAGGAGTTGAGGGTAGAGGGAGCACAGGTAGGGCGCCCTCAGCTGTTTCTGACCCCTGGCCTCTTGGGGAAAATGCGGCAAGGTTCTTTGGTCCATGTTCAAAGGCCCCCCTGGGAAGGCTCCTCCTCAGGCCCGCCCCAGCACCTTCTTTGCTAGGTTATGGGAGGTAGGTATAGCTGGGGGACATCATCTACCCCAGTCTGGAAGCTCTCTGCTGATCAGGGGTCGCCTTCCCCGGCTTCCAAGTTTCTAAACCTCTGTGGGTCTGTGCAGACCAAGTTCCTCCGCATGCTGCAGCCCTATGTACTGAACTGCTGCTATTCCATGAACTCCAGCGTGGTGGCAGAAGCCTTCTTATCTCTGAGGTACATCATCTACAACCTCACCTGGACCGACTCTGTGGTACTGCTTGTCGAGATCTCTTGCACTCTGCGGCCCTTCTTTGATGATGTGAGATTTTGGGGTGGCTAGGAGATTGGAGGGTGCAGAGAGACAGCAGGGGGGTGTCCTTTCTATGCCCAGCTGCCATCTTTTTTAGAAATCCCAAAGAAATGAATTCAACTTCTGTTCAACTTTTAAAGGTGTTTATTAAGCACCTGCTAGATGCACAGCATTATTCTGGGTGCTAGGTATGCGAAGGCAACAAAAATGATCCTTGCCCTGAAGTTAGTTCTCTGCTGGAAGGAAGGAGATAGAGCAGGCATATGTGTGAGGTGGCTTGATGTCCAACTTGCCTCAGACTCGGCCAAGTTATTTAACATTTTGAAGCTTAACCTCAGTTTCCTGTTCTATAAAGTGGGAATAACACTAGCACTTACATGACAGGGTGGTTGTGAGGATCAAATGAGATAATATGTAAAAGAGCTATAGAAAAGTGTGCTGTGTTATTTTTGTCAATAATAATAAGAAGTGCATACCTAAAGCTTGTCATAGCAGATAAAAAGCTGGCCTTGGGGCGAGAAAGCCTGCATTCATTCAATTCTTGTCCATGGAGACATGACTCTCCATTGCAAAGCTCTTGCTGAGGTGCTTTGGCAGAGCGAGCTTTCAAACTTGGAGTTCCCCATTTCAGTGAGATCTCCGGTCCAGACCTCTGCCTCCCCCTAAACTGTGTACTCGGATCACAAAGGCCCCAACAACTGGGGTGCAGGGGAGGTTTTAATGGAGGAGGTGACATGTGGGCCGAGAGAGGATGAGGATGCCTTGTGAGAAATAATAGAGAAGGGAGTGGGAACTCCGGGGTCGCTCTGAACAGAATGGGCGTTTGACTGACGGGGGGCAGAGGATGTAGGCAGAGAAGACAGAGTGATGGGGAACATGAGGAAAAATGAGCCCCATGCTTCTAGGAATGTCTGAGGAGGGCAGGGGAGGATCGGGGGTTTCCTGCTGCCAGGGATGCCGCATCTGAGCAGGGGGAGCTGGGTTTGTAAGAAACCTGGCATCGCCCCAGGAGGAGTGGCCTGTAGCTCTTTTGGCCTGCAGAAGGTACTAGCTTCCAATCATAGAATGGTAGAGGCAGAGAGGGCCCTAGGATCTATCTCGCCATAACAACAACAATTGCTAGCATTCATATAGGGCTTTAAGGTTTGCAAAGCACTTTATAAAACATCTCTTTTTATCCTCACAATAATCCTGGAAGATAGACGCTCTTATTATGGCCAATTCCAACTTCTAGCCCAGGTGTTCCTAACCCCCAGGTTGATGGATAGATTTCGGGGGGTCCATGAACTTGGCTGGGGGAAAAATACATCTTTGCTTTCACTAATCTCTGACTGAAATCTAGCATTTCCTCTGATTATTTAAGAGCATGATTTTGAGAAGGGCCCCATAGGTTTCACTGGATTTCCAAAGGGGTCTATGACACATTAAAGGTTATAAATCCTTGCCCTAGTCAAAAACTTTACAGGTTGGGCCTTGAAGGGAACAAGTCACAGAATAAGTGATTTTTTTTCCCACCTAAGTGAGGCAGTGGCAAAGCTGGGGCAAGAAACAGGGCTCTTGAGTCCTGTCTAGTACTGTTTTCGAGCACCCTTTGCTGCTCTAGCAGGGCTGGCTGGGGAGGATGGATAGGACGGGAATGGGGAAGGAGAGAAGAGCAAGCTCAGTGCAAGGGGGAGGAGCCAGATGCCTGTGTTTTCTCAGCTCAGTGCTTTGAGGCCAGAGGAGGTCAAGCATCGCTGGGGTTGGGGGAGGTAGCACAGGCAGGACCAGGGTGAAGCTCCTGGTTCATGGAGATGATGAATCTGCTGTGAACTGTGTCGGTGCAAGGGAAGCAGCCTCATCTGGGGAAAGAGCCCTGACTGCAGTCACAGGGCCAGAGCTCAGATCCTGCCTCTGGCACGTAACTCCCTTAGGCCTTGGCTTCTCCGTTTGGAAAAGGAGGGGGTTGAGCTCGATGTCCTCTGAGGCCCCTTCCAGCTATCGGTCAGTGACTCTAGCTGTGTTGGCTGAGGGGGCACTTCCACATGCACTCATTTGTGTGTCTCCTTCCACTCTCTCTAGGAGTCAGAGGAGCTTCGCTATAATTCAATTGACATGTTTAGTGCCCTCTTGGCCAAGGTGAAACGGAGGTTCCTGATGGTTCCCTTCAGGTACCAGGTCCATTGCAGCCTGGTTCCTCTGATGTTCCACCTGCAGGATGAGAACACCAGTGTGGCCCACGTGAGACCCAAGGCTCCAGAACCTGGACCTTCCTCTCCTATCCCTACTACCTTTGCGCCCCTCGGGAAATGTGCATACACTGGAGCTCACTGTGGAGAGAGATGGGACGGGTCATGATACATTGCTCGATGATGTGTCTTTTCCCCAGAGATCTTCAAAGTCACTCCCAGGCTTCCTCTGCCTGAGGGGACTGGATAATATGGCCTCTTGAATTCTGAAATGACATCTAGTTCTGTGACTTATGAATCAGATCCAGCTATGGGTCAGAAGTCATTACACAGAGGAAGGCAGTACAGACTGATCCCAAACCTTTCCTTTGGACACTGGCTTCAGTTTCTTTGTACCTTTTTCTGTGCTTCCCCAGGGCTGTTTTCTGTCTGCTGCAAGGCTGAATGGGGAGGGAGGGATGGAAGGAGGTGGGTGGAGGTAGATGCGGGAGAGAAGAGGGCACGGAATTCCCCCAGGCCAAAGAATAGGAAACTTTAGTCCTGGACCCCAAACTCCACAGTAAACTCTGCTACCTTTTGCTCATTTGTGGTAGACAACACAGTTACTTACCCATGTGATGATACAGGCTTTGGCTCTGGGACCCACGACATGGGGAGGGGGAGGGGAACGCCCCTGAATGTGTGGTTACGTTGCAGTCCTTGACTTGGGAGAGAAGGGTGTCCAGTCGCTGAGCTATAGGGTATTTCCATGTAACTGTTATCTAGAGCAGAAAGAGGGAAGTGAGGTTCAGAAGAGGTGGCCACACACCACCTTGTGCCTGTGTATGGGTTTCATCATGACTTTCTTTGATATTATGCCAAATTTGGTGGTGTTACCACAAGCTCATGGTGACCAGGGCAGTCTTTACAAATTCATGTAGTTTCTCAGTTTCCAGTCCCTGGCAACACTCCCCCTCCCCCACCTCCCATCTGCTGTCAGGGGTCATATAACTTTTAGGAAAAGAAGGGACAAGCTGAGTTGCCCAGGATTCATACTTTCTCTCTGAATGTTCCTTCCCCCACCCTGCTCCTTTCTCTTCTCTACCACATTGTTTTCTCCTTTCATTGGTTCTTCTTTCTGGCTGATGAGGCCAACTTTTTTAACCCCTTTGTTCCCCATCCCCATTACATAGCCTCTCTGCCTTCTTTCTTCAGGAAGCCTCCCCACTTCGCCTCTTCTTGTCCTTACAGGTCAGCAGGGATGGCCTCTGCCATTCTGCCAAAATTCTGGTCTGCCCACGGTTAAAGTCAGTGTGCAGCACTAAAGACATGTACTCCATCGGGAGTATCCTAGTAAGTCAACAGAACCCACATCTTTAGACCATCCTGTCAAGGATGGCAGGGTGGGGTGATGATCACCCATAGAACTAGGTGCATCTCTAAGATGGAGAAGCCGGGTCAGGTGTGCTAGGGTGGAGGGCACTGAAGTGTGAGTCAGAAAGAACTGGGGGTGAATCTCTCCTCACCACTTAGGCAAGTCATTGGGGCCCCAGTTTCTTCATCTATAAAGTGAAGGGGTTGGATTCAGTGACCTCCAAGGTGCCTCCCTGTTCTAAATCTATGATCCTCTGGTTCTTATGGGGTGATTTCCTCCTCCTCTCCATCTTGTGACTATTGCCATGTGGTATTCTGCAGGGCATGGTGCCAAGAAGATAATGGAGACTCAGCCCCTGACCTGAAGGGCCTGAGAGGCTCCAGCAACAGGCACACTTAGTTGTGTGGACACTGGACAATAATGGCTCCATATGGTTTCTAAGCATAGATCACCTCACATTTTATCCTCATGACAATCCTGGGAGGTAGATGCTATTATTATCCCCATTTTACAAGTGAAGAAACTGAGGCTGAGAGAGGTTAAGTGACTTGTCTAGGATCACACAGCTAGTAAGTATCTGAGGTGAAACTTGAACCTCGGCCTTCCTGCCTCTGAGGCTGCTGCCCCAAGCAACTCTCCAAGACCACATATTGCTGGGAAGGTGCCGATTTGCACTGGTAGAAGAAATTCCTCTGTGGGAAACTCTCTGCTGGGATGAAATCACCGGTCAGGTAATAAACAGCAACTGGCCCTTTAGGTGTCTGCTTGCCTCTTCTTCCAGCTGGAGGAGCAAAAGGACAAGATCCCCTGGTTTCTGAGCCAGAGCCTCAGCTACTTCCATAACACCCAGTCCAGCATCCGACAAGCAGCTGTGTGGTTGACAAGTAAGGCCTCCTCTCCTCTCCTCTCCCCTCCCATCCCATCCCATCCTGCCCCATTCCACCCCATTGCATCCCATCCCTTCTTGTCCCAAGGTGGGCCTCATCCTCTCCAGTAGCAGGAGAACAAATCTCTGGTCCTGAGCTTCATTGTCAAAAGCACAGAGAACCTTCTATTATTTAACTGTTTCTGGGAGATTCTTTTACTCCTGTTCTTTCCAGCCAACAAATCCCCAGCAGGACTGAGCAGCCTCCTCATAGCGAGAAAGGTAAACTCACCAGTGGTCAGACCATATACTTTACTACACTGTTGAGTATCATACTATGGGAAAGAATTTAAGTTTTGAGGGAGAGGTTTAGATTTGGGGAATAGATGCTTCTAGCAGTGGCCTGAGTGACCTGAGCAGTTTGGACCCATGAAAGGGCATTGCTAGGCATCTTGGTATAGTGGACCCAGGCTTCAGTCCTGTCTCGGATACTAGCTGTTTGACCCTGGATAAGTCACCTAACCTCTCTCAGCCTGTTTCCTCTATTACAAAATGGAGATAAGAAGAACATCAAGGTTTTTGTGAGGATCAAAGCAGATAATATATATAAAACTCTTTGTAAGCCTTAAAGCACTATGTAACTGGGAGCTGTTTTAGAGTGGGGGCTTCCAGCCCCCAAAGCATGTTGAGGAAGCACTTGTCTGGCCACTGAGGCAACTTTGTGTCCTTGGATAGGCCAGATTATCCAGATCAAGGCCATGGAAAATGAGGAGGAACTTCAGGAAGTCTATTCAGGTGAGGAATGGTCCTAGGTTTTTCTGTCTTGGAGGGTGTGAGTAAGGGTTGGGTGGACCAGAAACTAGGGAAAACAGTTGGCCATATTCAAATAATAGAGTTGACTCTCAATTGTCCACTTTAGTGGGGTGGGTAAAGAGGTATGGGTGATCTCCAAATCCTATTTCCCAAGATAGACATTTGAGGCTCTACCAAAACCCTACTAAGGCAGTAGTGAACTATACATGGACCTATACCCCACTGACCCTCTACCTGTACCCAGACCTAACACACTTTTGGCTCAGGTACTACTGTTGGTTGAGATCTGACTTGGGTGGACTAGATAGAAGGACTCACATTGCTCCTGATGAGACGATTGGTGGAACCTTGACTTTGTCTCATGCAGGGATGCCTAACCTTCTCATTACTTTGGAATAAAGCTGAGGTTGTGAGCATTCTGCTCCCCTCCCATTTGTAATACATAAGTTACGAGTCAATCTGTACTCTTCTGATAATGTTTGGACCAAATCACTTTTAAAAAATTTCTTCCTTATTTCCACCTTTCTTATTCTCTTGGTTCCCTGGGCTCTCAAGCACTGTTTCCTGGACAATGCAGAAGGAATTTTTTGGTAGCCCTTCTGAGCACTGGGTTGAATTCCAGGTGACCATTTCTGAGGCTCTCAAAGCACTATAACTAGTTAATCCTCCTGGTCCTTTGGCAGGAGAGGAGAGAGAACAGAGAGGAACAGGATGGGGAAAATGAGGCAGGTGACAGTAGTACCAGGTCTCTTCAGTCCCAGCACCATCCCAGGATGGTGCAGGTTTTCTGGGGACTTTGGTCAAGTGGCCAAAATCAGGTGGGCTGAGCAGTGGAGGCCATCAGAAGATATTTGTGACCCTCAGATCTAAACCTTTGCCTTTCCCTCTGACCTCCCTTAGTTAGCCCTTCTCCTGCCCCTCAGTCTAAAGTACCATTTTCGGGTTTTGTGTTGCAGCCCTGAAGCGCCTGAAAAATGACCCAGACCCAGCTGTCGCTTGCTTGGCGACCCAGACCATCTACCTCCTGGAGGTCAAGAAGATTCAACCAAGACCTCTCCAGCACATAGCTAATTATATTTGCTGTTGGTTCAAAAGAAAACAGTTGAAATACTGAACTAGAGGCCCAGCCACAATGGACTTCTCTTCTCTGCGGCCATGCCCCACACCTAGACTGCCCTCCTTTTTCACCTCTCATCCCTAACTGCCTTCACAAGTGCCCAGGCCGTCTCCCCTGACCATCTGCCTTTCCGATGTTGATGTTGTTCCCTCACTGTCTTCATATTACCTTACATTTGCTTCTCTGTGTACATGTCTGGAGTCAGGAAGGCCTGAGTTAAAATTTGGCCTCAGGCACTTACCAACTTTGTGACCTTGGGCAAGTCACTTAACCTCTGTCTGACTCAGTTTCCTTATCTGTAAAGTGGTGATAAAAACAGTACCTACCTCACAGGGTTGTTGTGAGGATCAAATGAGGTAATATTTGTAAAGCAGTTAGCATAGTGCCTGGCACATAGTAAGCGCTATATAAATGTTAGCTTATTATAAGTGCTTGTTGAAATAAAATGAGGCTTCTGAGCCTTGTACCCATGATGTTAATGCTATTTGATTTCTGTATAATTTTCATAATAAAGAGAAAAATTGGAGTTGGCTAGACTCACTTTCCCCTCTTTTTTCATATTTTGTCTATGAAAAATCAAATCTTCGTTGGCCCTGTGAGGATGACCTCATTTTGTCCTTCCCTCTGAAGTAAAGTCATACTCTAGGCTGATTCTCCCAAACGGTTCCTCTACATGCCCCCATGATCCAACAGTCCAAATGACCAAGGATTAAGTGCCTACTATGTGGAGGGCACTGTGCTAGTTCTGGTTTACAAAGACAAAAGGGAAACTGTCAGCTGCCCTCAAAGAGCTTACATTCTACTGGGGGGTGGGCGTTGAGGCATACATAGAAAAGCACACACGGGAAAATCTGAGGGAAAGAAGCATGGAGAAGCAGCAGGACCACTGGAGATGGCAGATGAACCAAGCCATGCAGGAGGCTAAGGATTCCAAGGGGTAGAAGAGAAGAAGGAAGAGCCATCAGGAAGGGGACAGGCACTACACAAGGGAGAAGAAGTGGGATACTGATACTGAGTCTAGGAGAGTATGTGAGAGAGTAATGCACAGGAAGTCTGAGGGGGTGGGCTGGAAGTAGGCATTAGCAATGAAGAGTGCTAGCAAACTGAGTGGTTTGTTTAATAGGTTTAGGGGTAGAAAGATAATGAGCTCCATTTTGGATGTGTTGAATTTGAGATGCCTATGGAACCATCCAATTGAAAATGTCTAGCAGGTAGTTTAGTGATACAGGAGCACAGCTAAGAGAGAGGCTAGGGCTAGACATGGAGATCTGGGAGTCACATGCATAGAAATTATAAATTAACTCATGGTTTTTGAAGAGATCAGTAAGAGAGGGATAGAAAGGAAAGAAGACCAACAGCATAGCCTTGTGGGACACCTGCCATTAAGAAGCAGGATATGGATAATTCAGCAAAGGAGACTAGAGGTGAATGTCAGCCCCACAATACCAGATACCTATTGGACAGTTAGAACCGGATGTCTATAGGCATCTCAAACTCACTACGTGCAAAACAGAACTCATTATCTTTTCCCCAAAATAAATCTTGTTTCTATCTTCACAGCATCTCTCGTATATGTCCCCCTCTCTCCTACTCATAACAGCCACCACCCTGGCTTAACTACTTATCACCTCTCATCTGGACTATTACAATAGCCTCCCCACTCCAGTTCATCTTGCTCCTAGCTGCCAAAGTGATTTTACTGAAATAATAGACTTGATCATGTCACACCCCCCCCACCTCCCTAACTCCATCACCAAACTTATTAGGATCAAATATAATGTTCTCTGTTATTTAAAGCTTTTCACAACTTGTCCCCTCCCTTTCTTTCCAATCTTCTGACACACTACCCCTTTACGTGCCTCTATACCCGCTATCCATCTACATTGACCTATTTGCTGTTCCTTATTGGAACACTCCATCTCTCATGTTCAGCTTCCTCGCCTTCATTTCTTGGACTTTAGCCTTCTTCAAGACTCCCCTGGCCCTGGAACCAATGTTGTGTCCTTGTTGGTTATCTTTTCTATGCCTTTGTTGAGTAAACTCCTTTTGTTAAATGTGAAGTGGTCTATGAATGTATCATCACATTCAAATCCCCAAACTTCTTCTGTTAAATGTTGAGTGGTTTGTGAACATATTCTTCCATTAAAATCTCAAATCTGAACCACAGATTTGGTCTGAGTCAGATGTGGCCCATAAGAAGCTGACAAGAGGAGATGGGAAGAGTAGATATCAGGTAGAGGGGTTGTCTTTGGGGCAAAGGGACACTTCTTTATTAGACACCGGAACAGAGGAGAAGTAAAGAGAGAGAATAAAGAGAGAGTAAAGGTTTTAAGGGGCAAAATAGGGGAAAGGAAGAAGTCCATGACAGCCTCTCCTTTCTCAGTAAAGTAAGTGAGGTCCTCTGTTGAGAGGAAGTAGGGAGGGATTGGTATAGGTTGTTCAAGAAGATAGGCGGTTTGGAACAGCTACTGTGGGTAGTGCGGTAGATAGCCAATTAGGGAAGAACAAAAGGGTTGCTATGATGTTAATGTTATTTGATTTCGGCAAAATTTTTGGTTTGAGGGTTTTGGTTGAGTACTGAGGGCTCTGTTGATATTAGAGAATGTAAATTAAGTGTCACAACTAATTCAAGTCTCCCTGATTCCTCTGAATCCAGCACTCCATTCACTACGCCAGGCAGTCTTACTTATGGGGTCAGAGCTGGAAAGGACTTGAGAAATCACCTATTCCAATTCTTTCATTGTGTTAATAAAGAAAATAAAGCCCAGAGAATACAGATTTATTTGAATATTAGTTTAGACTGAACAGAATTAGGACAAATCTGAAAGGGAGTGGAAAAAATTTTCATTTCCATCAACTGCTCGATCAACAACCATTTATTATCTCCTAAATGCACTGGGCACTAGAGATACAAAGACCAAAATAAATAAATAAAATCTTGCTCTCAAGTTTACACTCTATCATGGGAGGCAATAGTTTGGCACACCCTGGGCCAAGTGGACTCAGATAACAGAGAGCTGGTATTTATTTCTACCTTGAGCAGTAAAGAGACAATATAGCACCTTCCTGTCTCTGGATGTCTAAAAGAATCTAATGGAAAAGCCAAACAGAGAAGCTAACCTGCTGCTGCTGGCTTGGTTGGTTCCTAACATCTAATCCCAATATTTGTGACCTCTATGGCTTTGCCCATGGAACTGTGCAGAGTTCTGGGAGTTCTTGATCCATCACTTGATGGAAATAGAGACTATATCCCAAACAGCAGGACTCCCTGTGAGTTAAATGCCCTCTGAATTTGACCTAGATTTTGCCATAGCTGATTGGGGCTACCCATTTGTATCTGCTCCCATACTCTTGAGTCTATCTTTGACTAATTGGTCTTTTTGTCAGCTCTCCCCTTCTCTCTCTTCTCTTTCTCTTTCCTCTCTTCTCATCATTATTTGGTCTGTCAGTCTGTCCCTCAGTCTCTGTACTGCTATCTCTGACCATCCTCTGAACCCAGCAGCTGGTTAACTTGGCCCTGGGCCATGGCATAAAGCTGGAGTCATTTGCTTGGGTTTGAAAATAAACTTCAAAAGCAAGATGAAAAACTTCTTTAATCTCTGGCTTGGCAAAGAGATGTCACCCATTGCCCCCAGTCTCTGCTCTATCCTGTGCTCAGGCTCCCCCATCAGCTGCTACCAGCTGTCTGGGGTGGGTGTGGGTGGAGAGTGTGGACTGCTTTATGCAACTTGTCCTAGAGGTCACAAGCCTCCTTAGCATATTTACGCCATGCTCTTGGCCCTCCCCATGCCCAAATGCAAATCAACAATGTAAAAATCTTGCTTCTCTATATACCTCTGACTATGGGTAAAGTTCCCCAGAAATTGCCCTGAATCTTGTGACTTAAAGGTTCTACCTTTGTGTGTTATATCTCCAAAGGGTCAGTCTAATCATCAAGAGTCAAAGCCTGCATGTGGGCTGACTTTGAAGTGAATGGGGCCTCTGACCACCAAGAGAGTAGGGCAGCAGGAGCTAAGACAGCAATGCTTTTTCTCAATCTCAAGGCAAGGTTTTGAAACAAAATTTATTTTCCCACAAACTTGAGTTGGTCGTCCAGTTGAGGAGGTCCTAAGGACCAAATAATAAGGTATGCAGGGGGCACTTTGTGAATTGATATGCCACTGAAAAGTTTCTACAAAGCCAATGAAAATGTTACTCAATCTAATTGTATTTTAAATGTGTGTGGGGGGAGGCAGGTAATAGGCTATTTAAAGGAGTCTTGAAGTGAACTCTCTCAAAGCAAGTCACTTTCCTCTTAAATTTTCTGCTTTTGATTGGGTTTCACAAACTGTGCCATGATACCTTAAATAAGACCTTTGGGAATAAAGTTTTTTTTTTAAGTTAACCTGGTTGTGGAAATGTTACTCCCCAAGCAACTTCATTTTTAGCAGGGCCATGGGGCATCTGATCCCGTGTGCTGGGGCCACAATCGAAAGGGGAAACATCACCCACCCACGGCAGCAATGTCCACAAACAATGGCCATTTCGGCTTTATTTACGAAGACCTCCTGGGAACCAACACATCTAGGTTGAAAACAAAAATGTACAGCGTGACATTTAAATAGCTTTCTTACACTATGTACAGTTGTTCGTGAGGGTACAAAACATATATACACCTTGTGCTATACACGTCACAGAAAGGAGCTAGGGCAGACTGTGGAGCCTCAGAGCAGTTGGCCTCTAGAAATCGGCTGGTGGCCAGGTCAAGGCAGGTGTCTCCTCTGCACACACTCCTGCTCCTTTGAGGCTGGCGGACTTTGTGATCTCAGTAACTCAAGCAATGGTGGAAAGGGGAGCAGGGCCCTAGTTGAGGGTCTGTGCCCTCAGCTGTGCAATGGGGAGAGGGATGAGTGGTGATGCTGGGGGAGAGGGAAAAGGTGGAGGTTGAAGTAGCCTGTGATGGTTGCTCAACTGCTGGGCCCCGTCCCCACAAATCTCTTCCCCTCATGGACTTCCAGGCTCAATTAGAGCCAGGAAACCAGAGGAATAGAATGTCAGTCTCTAGGGAATGGCATCTGGCCAGGAGGGAAACCAAGGGAGAAGAGAGGCCCTGGTAGTTCAGTGAAGATGGAGATCAGCCTGGCAAAGGATCCAGCCCAGCTGGGTGAGGGGGTGGCACCCTGGCACTAGAGGCATGGTAAAAGGCCCGCAGCTGCACAGTGGAAATTCCTGCACTGTGGGCAATGTCAACCCAAACACCCCAGGAAGCCAACCTGGCAGAGATGGGACCTGCCCATCCAGGTGCAGGGAGAGGGCAGGCTTCCAGGGTGACAAGGAAAGGCAACAGAGGGACCTAACTTCATTATTCCTATGAGATTCATAAAATCCTACCCATTGGTATAGGTTTTCGCAGATGCTTATCCACTATCAACTTTGTTTTTGCAAATGGTGGGCATTACATTAGTGTATGGAAGAGATGTCCTCTAAGGTCCCTTCCTGGTCTCACATTCCAAATCTTACCTTCTTAGGTCCTTATCAATCCTTCTCAGGACTGAGCTGCTACTAACTCAGAGAGTAAATACTGTAAAGGACAATAATACTGTGCTTGAGAATCTGGGCCCTAGCTATGAGCCCTAACCCAGGAGACTTGATAGGCCTTGAAATCAGTTTAGGCTGTTTGGAGACAGGAGAAAGGTCTGTGAGGCCAGAGTCTAGGGATAGTTATGGGCTCAGAGCCCTTCAATCTCTAAGTTTTTGGGGAATGATGAGGACATGTGTCTCTTATGTCCTCATGCCCCAGGCTTATCAGGATGGCACATACTAGCACAACCTATCTTTCAGTCCTCTCTATAACTATCTCTGATTAATACCCAAAGGAATAGGGCTCCTTCATTCTGGGGCACAGTGGGCAGTGACAGCCTGAAAGGGCCTAGCAGGCTAGCATGACTTCCTTCTCCATGGCATGGCCCCTGGGGTTGGTCTAAGGGAAGGGAGCCAGGGCAAGTTTGGGAATTCTCTTGTCTGGATCAGGACACACTGGCCAATATGAGTCCTCTTTGAACTGAGGGCAAAAAAAGGATGGGAACCCAGAGGTAGGTCTGGGGCCTGGTCATCCTATGCTCCAAAGCTGGGTCTAAGCTTCCTCAGTCTAGGGCTTGTGCTTAGGCTCTATGGTCCTTGTGCTCAGAATACAATCATTTTGTGCTTATAACACTTAAAATACTGGTAAATACTTGTGCGGTTGCAGTCCCTGTTCCCCAACATTCTCCGGCTCAGAGCTAAACCCTGTGTCTCCCAACTCCTCTTCAAGAAAGTGCTGAGAGACCCAACTTTCTTCGAGTTCAGCTGCCCAGCAACTTAGGGATGGAATGACCCTGTCAGGGCCTCAGGATTTCAAGTTTCTGAAAAGCCAGCACACTCACATAAAGCAAAGCCCAGGCCCAGCCATGAGGTAGCTTACCCAACATCAACAACAAAGGAATCAGACAACAACCACAACACAGGGAAACCATGGGATCAAACCTTGAGTGGGAGTCAAATAAAAACTCGTAGTTCAGTCCCCATTACTGCGGGCTGACTCCCCCTAACCTGGTGGGACCCAGAGTCAAGAGGGTGGGGAATGCAGTCTTGTATGTTTGTAAACAGCAGCCCCCATCAGAGGGAACTCTTCCCTCATCTCCCAGGGTGCAAGACCCAGGTCAAAGATGGTTCGGTGAAGAGGAAGGGCAGGCAAACAAACACAGGCTTGCTTTGGAGTGGAAGGGAGGTGTCTGTGGGACATGAAAATTTGACTTTCACTCTTGCTCCCCCACCCCAAGCATGGCGGCTGGGAGAGAGTAACTAGCCACTAATTATACTGTCTATTATTCCCCGAAGACTAAAACTCCATTTCTTTTTTTTCTTCCTGCAACCAAATGACCCCACATTTCAGCCCGTGTCCAGCAAAGAGATGAACTGTGCACACAGTCATTCTGCAAAGTCATTGCTGCTTCTCGGTAGGGGGACAAGTTGGTCTGTTGACTCTAAAAGGATGGGGTCACGTTGGGGAAAGGTAGGACTAGCTTTCCCCTCGAAAGTTTTCTCCCTGTCAGACACCTGAACTCCTCAGGAAACGTACAAGCCTTGTTCACAAATGAGAGAAGAACCCCTCCGTCATCTTTCATGCTACTTTTGTTTAGAAGCTAAAAGGGACTCCTGCCCACCTGGGGCCTGTATTCTCTGCTCAGTTCAAAAGCAGGGAGGTGAGGGAGGAGAGATGTTCGTGTCCATTTGCAGAAGCACCAGGCCACAAGCTCTCTCTGAAGACGACGAGCAAGACGTCGGCGCCCGTGCTTGGCTTCGGGTCCTGAATCCTTCTATGTCCATGCCTGGTAGGAACAGGCCAGAAAAGCAAAGGGCTGGTGCGGTAGCAGAAATATATGATGGGCAAAGAAGCCATTGTATTTCCCTGGCAGTCCTTGGGTTCGTCTTTGAGTTCACAGGTTCCACCAGGAAGGGAACCCCAGACATTAATTTAATACAAAATTCACCTAGTGGGTAGGCCCTGGGCAAGAAAAAAAAAACCAGAGCCTCTTTCAATCCAACACCCTTCCCCCTCCCTCCCCCAGACCCCCCCCAAAAAAAATCCTCAAAGGATGTGGGGTCTTTTGAATGAGTAATGATTCTCCCTTATTTCCTTCCAGTTTTAAGGCTTGGAAATGTGTCTCTTGAATAACCATAAAGAAAGGAGTTGGAGAGACAAACTGGGCTATGGTTGAGTTAAAACCATGGAGAACCTTTTGAGCCCGCTTCCCACCATACCACTGGCACAAAACACTGTTCTACCCCAGCCTATGGGGAAGAGGGGGGTGGGAGGGGCAAAGGAACAGATTCTAAAATTTAGTCCTTACTACTCAAGACATTCTACTATACACAGTACCATGAAACAAGGGAGAGGATGCAAAAGCTGCTTCTTAAGTGATGTGGGAGTGGGGCAGGAATCTCCCCCTTGATAGGGTTTGTAACACAGCATGTGGTGGCAAAGGGGGGTGGTGGGGGTGGGGCACAGAGCAAGACCTCCTCAAGTTAGATCTAGCTAGGAGGGCAGGCAGCAGTCACCAGGACGGAAGATTGCAAGGGGAGACAGCAAGACACATGTGGCTGGCACTACTGCCTGAGGTCACCCAGCTCTGGGTGCCAGGCCCCAGGGGCATGGAAGGCACTGGAGCGTCTGATGGTATGAGGTGAATCACGGGCTGGGATGGTGCCTCTCAGAGAGGAAAGCCAGGATAGCCCAGAATCGGGTGGCAGTTGGGGGAATTAGGAAGGGGGTGATGGTGGAGATAGAGGTGAGGACAGGAAGGACAGGAGGGAAAAAAATCAAAAGGGATTACTCCCCAATCGATCCCAGAATGCGTTGAAGGCTAGGGTGAGTTGGACGGCTCAGAAACAGAGGCTCGAGGGTGCTGTCCAGCACCCTTTCCCATTTGAGGACCTTTTCTGCCCCCTCCCCATGCTTTCCCCTGCCTTGCCCACCCCCCTTCCCCTTCCTCAGGATTCCCTGGCCCTGGAGAGCTCAGGGGATTGAATACATAAGAAACTTCAAGTTGGTATCCAGGAAGCGCCAGCAATAAATAAATAAATAAATAATTAAATAGATGAAATGACCAGGCTGAGACTGCGGCTCTCCCCTCAGCTGGAACTTTCTGAAGGATGGGCCTGCCCAGACCCCAGGAGGGGGAGGGCTGAGTCCTAGGGATGGGATGGTGGTGGCCCCAGGGAGAAGGCTCAGGGGGAGGGCCTGGCAGCTGCCCATCCCCAATTTACATGGTCACTAGAGGGAAGGGCTCTTTGTCCTTTGACCGCCTTCCTTTTGGGGGAGGAGGCTGAGGACTCAGATGCAGGAATGGGGTGCCAGAGGGGCAAGAGGGGATCAGAAGCAAGATAACTATCTGAAAGACAGTGTTCAGATGGCTGGGGAAGAGGAGCAAGGTCATTTCCAAGTTAAAATATGGCTGGTTGGGGCTGGGGGTTCCCCTCAGCCTGGCTCAGAATCCCCTCCCCACCATGGGGCTTTCTGGAGGCGGGGAGCTAATAAAAATTTCCCCAAGATCTCCTCACAGACCAGCTGGAGAGCTCCTGAGGTTGGGGTGAGAAGGGGACAACTTAGCAGGAAGAAAAATGGGGCCAAACCTGGAAGAAGCTGAGAAGCTTCAGGAGAAGAAGTGGGGATCAAAAACGCCCTTTGGCTTCACAGCTTAAATGTCCTTCCCCTCTCTCCTTCCCCCAAGGGGGCTCCCACCCCACTGAGAGATGGGTTTGGGAACACTCTCCACTTAGGAAGGCTAGGAGAGAAGTGGGACAGAATCCCCAAACCCTCTCGCCCAGAGCCATCGGCATCATCTGGCCTGGACCTGTGGGGCCTCAATTATCTGAAGAGGCTTTTCTTTAGATGATGTCCAGGCTGCTAGAAGAAATGTGGAATCCGAGTGCCCCCTCTGACTTCTCCTCCTAAAATGTGCCACTTGGTAGCCGCCTTCCGCTCCAGAATTTCACTGTCAGGTCACTGGGAGGGAGAGAGAAAGAGACAAAGAGCGATGCACAGGTCAGCTCTCAAAGTTGTCCCAGACAACTGGCCTGAAGGGAGCTGAGGGTCAGGTTCCAAAAGCCCCAAGTTCAGCTTGGGGAGCAGGGGACAAATCCTAACTGTGGGGGCTGAGGGATTCTGGGGTGAGAGGGATTGGCCATCTTGACTGGCCATCTTTGCTCAGCTGAAAATTGTGCCAGCTCACCCCCTTCCCCCCTTTGCTGTCTGTGACCCTCTCCTAGACGTCCTGCCCCGTTGCTCATGCTCAGAAGTGGAATGAGTGTGGGGATAGAAATGTGTGACTTTTTGAGGGGTGGGCGGGGAGGGAGAGACATAGCACTGCTCTCTAGATCAGGCATGATGGGGAGGGTCGGGGAGATGGGGGAGTAAAAATCTCATACCGTTAAGAAGCAGCTTGGATCGAAGTGGAGAAAGAAAGAGGGAAGAGGGAAGAAGGGGAGAGTAAGAAAGGAGAGAAAAGACTGAGAGGGAGAGAAGAAGAGGGTCAAGGCAGGCTAGTGGCGCGGCCCTTTATAGCCAGGACGCGGCGTGGAAGGCAGGGGGTGAGTCCAGGGACGTAACTCCACAACTTTACCCGGCAGTCACTGCGACAGGGAAAGAGGGGTAGGGTGGGGGGAGAGATAGAAATGCATTGAGAGACAGAGACACAGAGAGAGACAGAGAGACAGGAAGAGGGAATGTGGTCGGAAAAGAAGGAAGAAAAGATCAATTCAAGTAGAGTAGAACTCCTCCCCCAAGGATGAGGTGGCCTGGAGGGCCCCTCCATGGAGGACCGGGAGATAAATAGATGGATGGACCTGGGCTGGGAGTGAGAGGTATGACGGAAGCTGCAGTACCCTTCCTGGGAGGCCCTATTCTTGGCAGGGGATGGCAGCTGGGAGGTGGTGGGGAGATGGGAAGACCTGCGCTTCATAACAACAGCGGTGACCAGAGGAGGCTGGGACGAGAGAGAACTGAGCAGGAACACAGCACCTCTCCCCTCTGCTCTCCATCTGCTCGGCTTGTCACCCATGTCCTGGCTGCCCCCTTTCCTAGACCCCTCCTCCCTCTTTGACTGGGTGGGTAGAGAGACTCTGCTACACCAGCTCCTACTGAATTCAAAGCCCATGACCGGACCTTCCAGGAACCCCGCCGATTCCTTCTCTTCTCCTCTCTATCCTATCCTGGTTATAGCGAAATCTACTGAACGGGAAGCGAGGGCAGAGATTTCTGGGAGGGTCAGCGCTGTGAGTCCTCCAAGCTTACCTGGAGGCGGTAAAAATGTGCTTGGAGTTGGTACAGATGGCATTGATGGGGCTGTCGTGACCTTTGATCTCTCCAATGGGTGTGAAGTTTTCCACATTCCAGACCTTGATGAAGCCCCCTCGGCAAGCACTCAGCAGCATGGGTCGGCCAGGAACAAAGGCTAGGGCGCAGACCCAGTCCTTGTGGGCATTCGGGATTTGCTGCGGAAGGACAGGAAGCAGCCAAGGACCATAAGGACTAGCTCCCCTGGCAATGGAGTCTGAAAGGCTTTTCAGACAAGGGGCCCAGGGGAACTAGCACTTTTCTGAAGTATGGGGCAAGAGGGGAGGGAAGGGGTCAAGTTTGGGATGGGAGGCAAGCCTTAGCTCTAACTTCTTCTACTGTTCATCCCATTCAGTCATCACATAAGGCCTCACTGATGCTGAGAAAGATGGGCAAAAGCCAGGGAGCAGAACTCTGCTTGTCCTTTTGGACAAGCACCCTGTCCCCCTTCAGAGCTTGCCCCACTGGTGGCTGGAGGCCCTGGGGAGTGGCCCTTGCTGGGAGCCCTAGCTTAGCAAGTATCATTCCACAGTGATCAGACCTCAGCTGCGCCTGCCCTGGGAAGAGGGACCAGGAAGAACTTGTCAAGCTCTGCTGAGGCACGATTGACAGCAGGTCCTTCTCAAGCAGTATTGGGGAATGAGAGTAAATGACACTGGGCAGCGGAAGGTGGGGGAGGGGTAGAAGGGAATGCAGAAGGGGGAAGCCCGAGGTGCTGTTGACCAGCTTTCCTGGCTTCATAAGCTGCACGCTCATCCTTCCCCTCACTTCCCTATCCCAACCTGAATGAGCTCCTGCTGCTCCAGGTCCCACTTCTTAATGCCATTGTCCCGGGAGCCGCTGAACAGGATGTCACTCTGGATGGCTAGGCACTCGATGCCGTCATAGTGCGGGGGCTCAAAGTTGTGGGTGGGGCTGATGTTACCCATCACACTCTCTGCCAGCTCAAATATCTGTTGAGGAGAAGCGAGTACCTATAAGTCAGGTGGTGGGAAGGATGGAGGGTCAGTCTTAGGGCTTGAAGTGCATGGGGTCATGTGTGGGAGAGATTTGCCACCTTCTTCCAAAGAGCCCAGGGAAGCCAGATTCTTCCTCTAGGTCCTGGGTTCAAATCTTTTACTGGACTATGCCATAGCCTTCCCTGCCCCCTCCCTTCCCCCAGACCCTACCATGTCTTCTTGGGCAACCAGGAAAAAGAGTGAAGGGGGAATGTTTTTGCTGCTGAACAGGACAAGGTGAGGGTAGGAGTATAAAGAAATGCCCTCTCCCAAATCACTGGTGGGAAGTATATAGGTATACTGCTGAATTACAGAAGAAGTCTCCCAGATGGGGAGATGTGAGCAATTTTATTAAGTTGATCTCAACCATCACTAAAAGTCTATTGTATACAGTCCTCTGTGGTAGATGCTGGGGAGAGTTTAAAAAAATAGGTAAGCAAAAGAAGTTCAAGATGCATTCCTGCCCTCATGAAGCTTACAATCCAGTGGAGAGATATGATACATTCACAGACAGGGATAGGGACGGGACCCATAATTTAATTAGTACAGGGAACTCTTAGGTGAGGAAGCTCCCTCTACCAATGGAGGTTGGCACCTTCTCTGTAACATAGTGTCTTACTAGAGTTGCAGAGATTGGGGTGACAGACTCAAATAGAAGCAGGGGCACTAAACGAGGTGGGCCACAAATATTAAAACCACATATTAACATTATCTATGTTCTATTGCATTTTTATTTATTTTGTGAAATATTTCGCAATTCCATTTTAATCTAGTTGGACCTAACTAGAGAGTAAATGCACTGGAGGGAGTGTTTGACACCTGTGGCTTAGAACCCCGAGAGATAAAATGTCTCCTCCAGGGTCATTCAGCCAGGTGGTGGTAGAGATGTGACTTGAACTCAGGTCTTCCTGGTCTCAAAGGAAATTATATTTGTGAAGTGATTAGCATAGTGCTTGGCACATACAATTATAATAGCTGATTATACAGCGATTACTATGTGCCAGGTACTGTGCTAAGCGCTCTTAAATAATTATCTCATTTGATCCTCACAACAACCCTTGGAAGTAGGTGTTATTATTATTATCCCCATTTTACAGATGAGGAAACTGAGGTAGACAGTGACTTGCCCAGGACACACTTTGGACTCAGATCTTCCTGACGCCTAGCTGCAATCTAGGTGAATCTTTGCTAATGTAGAGGGGACCAATGGTTGTTAGAAGCCTTGGTTCCAGAAATTGGAGGAAAGAGGCCAGGAATTAACTGTGAGAACTTGGAATGTCAAGAGGAATCTGGAAAGGCCGCACTCTAGATTTGCTCCTGGGACTGTATAATAGCTGTCCAGATGTTTGGGTGAGGCTGGGTGACGACCTGCAATGAGTAGCCCTAGAAGTTGGGTTGGACCAGATTAGGGGCACCTTCAGAAAGATCTTGCTGCCTCATGATTTGACAATTTTGAACTCTATGAACATGTTTCATTTTTTGAATTTTATTTATATTATATTTATACTTTATTTATATCATTAATATTTATATGTTATAGACTTACTTTTATTTTATTATATATATTTTATATTATATATTTTTTGTATTATATATATTTATATTTTCTTTATTTTTTTACTAGGAAAGCTTTTCTGAATGACCTCACCTGTGCCTCAGGATGAGCTAAGGAGAAATTGAGGCCAGACTAGGCAAGGACTGGAAGAAATAATTAGGAGACACAAAAGAGGCAGCTCCCTCTGCCTTTCTGAAGTTTTGGCAGTAAAATGGTAAAGCAGGATGGTGTAGAAGAAGAAAACCCCAGGTGAGGCTAACACTGGATCTTGGGTGCTGCTATGAGGACCTTTTCCTACTAGAAGGTCCCAGGTCTTCCCAGGAAGAGTAAAGAAGCCCCCAACACGGTCTGGTTGGTCTTGTAATAATTCTTAGAGGGATCGGTGATCTCATCAGCAGATTGCAACACTGGCACACCTTCTTGTTCCTTTTTTTGTTTGTTTGTTTGTTTTTTTTAGGCAACTGGGGTTAAGTGACTTGCCCAGGGTCACACAGCTAGTAAGTGTCAAGTGTTTGATCTGAGGCCAGATTTGAACTCAGGTCTTGTTCCTTTAATATTTCCAGGATACCAGTACAACAGCTGGGAGAATGTTGTCTATTATTTCTCATATTTGCTACAATGATCAATCTACTTTCTTTCAACCTACTTGTAAACGAGGGTAATTTCATTCTTTGTACTTGTACCTCCAATACCTAGCACATAGTAAGTGCTAGTTGGTTGTATCAATGGTACTATGTTATGTTCTACTTTAAACCACCATGTATACAATCATTCCATTGCTCTTTGGGTCAACTTGCAATTGATCCTTCTGAGATCATGGTGTTCCGTGATTCTCAGCCATAAAGGACCAGAGGAAGAATACTTGGGTTATGAGGCACTTTGGCAACTGTGAGTTGCTTGGGGTCATTGAAAGCATTGTACAATTCACCAAATGTAACCGAGCCTCAATGGCTCCTATTTAATTCTATATCCAACTCATTTTCCATCTGTAGCACCTGACAACTGCATGTTATCTTCTGGGTGATACACGCTTTTCATCCACTTTGTTTTTCCACTGTGAATGGTTATACCCATCTCTTTCAAATGATTATGAATTTTGTTGAGATTTTTAGTGTTTACAGGGCATGATGAAGCAAGTGTTACAATATCTACAGGTAGAAGCATTTGGAATAGCTTCCCATCAACAAACAATCAGCCTATTTGAACTCTGCACAGGTTGTCTCGTGGCAGAGGCGGCAAACAAACCTCCATCCCTGGCTTATGTCTTGAAGCTCAGCAGGTCATAGAACAGAATTGTTTCTATGATGACATCTGTCAGAATTTTACATTATGTATGGGAGGCAAATTATTTTAGAACTTTTAAGCTGCATTTCGTTCTACTGAGCCCCCTCCAATTTTTTTTCAATCAGCACCTGATAGACACAGCAAAATCTTGTGTTCTCTATATTACTCCGTCTCTTCAGTGACTGAACATGTTATCCTTAGGAGAAAACAGCTTGTAGAAGGCTGCTCTTTCCTCCCTCATGCTTTTACCCTTGACGTATGCATAGATTATTTGCCTAATGATTTTACAGAGAAGAGAAAATAGGCGGGGGGGGGGATTGGAGCTGTTGGTGGATTCTTGGTCACCTTTTTGTTTGGTAAAAGTACCATCGATGAGCTCCTCTATTCTTTGCCTCTTTGAGACATCCTGAAAATGGATTCCTGTGTGCTTTTAAAATTGTATTATGGATTTCTTCTGTACGTCTTTGGTCAGACTCGGGGGCACTTCCCAACTTCATCTTAACCACCATTTTCATTTCTTCGCATAGGTACTAATGTCCAAATGTGGTGGGTTCCACTATGGTGAGAATATGAAGCCTATGAAGAAAATACATCTATACCTCCATAGATGGCTATAGAAATGCTGGTGGATGTTTTATTTCATGCCTGCATGTTATCTTCCTCATTTCATCTACAAATGATCTTGGGATTCTCTGGCTTAGCTGCATCTCATTGAGTCTCATTTTCCGTGGAACTGCTTCTTGCCACTGAGTGTGGCGATACTGCTCCTCAACTTTCATCATCCTGTTCTGTAATGTTCTGCAAATGAGTTCATACTCTAAACTGGTGCTCCTCTTGGTTGCGGTCTCTCTTAGCTTGGCAGGGTATGCCAGCTGGCTTTTTTCATCAACCAGTGCCATATTTTGATTGCTGTGACCTACCTCAAGGTTCAAGGTGCTACTGATGGACAGATTTCTACTTGTAGAAGGGGAGTTAAGTGATGGATTGGGTCAGTATTATTACTGTTCTTACCATTATTATAATCTACTGGAATTATAAGCACAACTCTCATTGTGGGAGTCTTTTCTTAAGAAGAAACTACATCTCTGGTCACCATTTCCAGCACTGGCAACACTTCCACTCACAGAATCTCCCTCCAACTCATAAGTTGTGCTGGGGGAGTTGGAATACTGACTCTCTGTTGCCACTTCCAGACTCTCCTTTGACTGCCACCACACAGCTTTCTTTCCTTTTTGGAGGTTCAGTCAATTCAAATTTATTATCCAAACTAGATTCTGGTAGCTGTTATCTACCAAGTCCCATGATGCTCTCCTCCCTTTCTCAAAGAGTTCGGTGCTTGGCTAAAAGTCTTTCTCTCCATCCCAACTCCTTCCCTTACTCTAAGAGACTTAACATATATGTTGATGCACTCTCAAATACTCTAAATTCCCAGTTCCTCATGACTTCACCCTTCACTTCACTTCAATGACATGCAGCGTTTGTCATAACCTTGATCTTGCCATTACCCATAAGTCTTTGACTTTTGTGTTCAAGAATTCTGAATTTTTTATTTGATCATAATCTTTTCTCTTCCCATCTCTTCCTCTGCCTCATTCCTCCCAAATCTACCCTTTGTCCTCATCATGCCCTATAGTCCCTCCATCACCCAATACCATCCCAGGGTATCACTCCGGCTCTGTCTACACTCTCCTCTCTTCTAAATCTTGACCCCTTGACGAACCATTTAAAGTCTATACTATCTTCTACTCTCAAATCACTTGTTTTCCCCCAAAACTTCCCATCTTCTGATCAAGGGCATGACCATTCTCCCAGTGACCTGGGTTTACAACTCTGACATCATCCTCAGCTCCTCTCTCTCACTTACCCCATACATCTAATAGGTTGCAAATCTGTCATTTCTTTCTCTGCAACATCTTGTGCATAAGCGCCCTTCTGATAGAACCACAACCCTCATTTGAGGACCTCTCTCTGGGGATCATTCCCTGCCCATTCCTGCCAAAGTGATTTTCCTAACATAAGTCTGATCGTGCTACCCCACCTCTGCCCTCAGCAAACTCCAGTGGCTCCAAGATCCAAGAGAAAGTCCTCTGTTTGGCATTAAAGCTCTTCATGACCTGGCTCCTTCCTACCTTTTCCAGTCTTCCTGTATTCTACTCCCCACCACTCCCTCTACGATCTGGTCTATATTGGCCTAATCGCTGTTCCTCTCACATGATATTTCATCTCCTTTCTCTATGCCTTTGCACTGGCTGTTCTCCATGATTAGAAGGCAACAGCTGGAGGGGGGGAGCTGGTGATGCAATGGATAGAGCACTGGGCCTGGAGTCAACAAGACTTGAGTTCAAATCTGGCCTCAGATGATTACTAGCTGTGTGACTCTGGGAAAGTCACTTAACCTGTTTGCCTCAGTTTCCTCAACTGTAAAATAGAGATAATAATAACACCTACCTTGCAGAGTTATTGTGAGGATCAAATGAGATACTATTTGTAAAAGTACTTAACATGGTGGCTTACATGTAGGTGCTCAATAAATGTATGTTGCTTAACTGACTGAGTCCCTGGAATATATGAGTAGCTTGTACCTTTACATAATGATCCTTGGAGCCGGTCACCACAAGATCATGGTGGTTGGAAGTCTGGTTGACTGTCAAGCACATCACAGGACCAATGTGACCAGTCAGCTTCCCAATGGGCTGGAACCTGTTTGGGGAGAAGAGTGCCCAAATGGAACACTGAGCAGAAGCAATCCGCTGGACTGGGATGTGAATAAGGAGCAGGCATGAGGACCAGCCTGACAAACAAGGCAGCATAGCTGGATGGCTCTGACCCAGTCTCAGGTGGAGACTAGGAAACACTAACCTTCAGATATCCCAACATGACTGGGAAGGGGTCAGGTTCCTCAGGAGAGGCTGAGGTCCCAAAGCAGAAGAGAATGACTAAAAGGAACGGGCCTAGACCCAGCCGCTTCCTGGGGTCTCGCCACCCACCCAGCAGAATCTCCAAGCCCGGGTCCCACCCCAGCCATCACTGCCCCTGACCTGTTGAGTTCCCAGATGCGGACTGAGTTGCCAGAGGCAGCATACAGAGTGGTGCCGGTGGGGTTGAGGGCGATCTGGTTGATCTGGTGTTCCCCTTGAGCACTTGTGACAGTTCGATTGGTGGTGCTTGCGCAGGCGTCTCCGGAGATCACCTGACCTGAGGACCTGGCCCAGCCCATGGGGAGCACAGTTAGACCTGGCTGCAGCCCATTAAGCCACCCCCAGTCTCACTCTAGTGAGTGACTCTTACTATCCCCCCACTTTTAGGAAGCCTGCCCAATTTGATTGACAGGCGACCCCTTCCCTGGGCCGTTCTATTTGACCAAAGATCTCCCCTCCCTCAAAAACACACTCATCTCTGGACTTTTGGTGCAGGTACTTTCTAGAGCTGACTTAGCTTTAGTTTGTCATCTTTACATCCTTTATCTCTGTCTATACCCTGGGGTCTACCTCAGAGTGTAAGCCTGGGGAGGGGGGGATGGTGGGAGGGCAGGGACTATGTCTATAGAAATCACTTTTCATGCTGCGTGTGGGTGGGTGACGAGTATGGGCTTAGGATGAAGACCTGCTCAACTCTTGGATAAGATACCAGGGCAGATCTGCACGTTCAATCTGTCACCTAAACCTTCATTCCCCAAGGCTACAGTGCTTAAGGGAGGCAGGATGCTTACAGGCAAGCTGATGGAACAAACCTCATCTCTTCTAGTGACTTCAACGGGTCGTGCTAACTAACACCAACTACACAGTGCCCTGCTCCTGGATCCTCACCTATTGAGGGTTCCTTGACCCGGGGAACTGTGGCAGCCAGCAGGGGCATGCTCTGCTCCCTGTACCAGTAAGCCAAGCCCAATCAATTTAAGCTCTTTTAAGTGTTTCTACACGCATGACCCCCAGAAGGAATTGTGGAGAGCCCTTCGGAGCTGAGGAGCACTTATAATTGCTCTGGGAGTATCAGGAGCAGTCTTCAGAGTGTCTAGGGTGAGGGCAGGGAGGTACCTACGTGAGAGTGCGGATGCACTTCGCAGAATCCCGGATGTCCCACACCTTGATATAGGACGTGGAGACAGAGAACACCAGACCCAAGTGGGCACAGTACTTGATGGAAACAACATTGTTGGGATGACCCTTCAGAGCCGCAATCTCCTGCCCTGTCACCAGGTTCCACATCTTGCAGCTTCTGTCTGTAGGGGGAGAGACCCCAGGGTAGGCAAGGGTACATTTGTCAGGGTTTGAGCCAATCATCCCCAGGCACAAGACCTCCCACCACCCTGTATACAGGAAGGGTCTGATCCTGGGCACCAGGAGCTAAGCAGAGCTGAAGAATATGCCATCCCAGTCCACATACATATGACATGAGACAGAAACAAACACAAAACTAGCAAAAGCTAGCAAGAGTTTTAGGCATTAAGCACTGCAATTGGGCAAGGGAAAGGAGACACTTGGCCATGAAGGAGGGTCCCTTAATTCAGTTCTCTTTGGTCAGCTCTCAACAGCCGGCCGAGGCAGAAGGAACTTGGTGACACAGTTGGGAGAGGCCTTCCTAGAAGCCCCTGTCTTCTCCCACTTTTGGTCTGTACCTCACATACCTTTTGATCCCGTGAAGAGCAGCTCATCAGTGGCATCCAGGCAAAGAATGGGCTTGGTGTGACCCTCAGCTACTGAGACACACTGCAAGGGAGCAGTCCGGGCGCTCTTGGCTCCGCCAATGGGGTTGATCATTCCCCTTTCCAGGGAGAGAGAGGAAAAGAAATTAGCCTGGCAGAAAGGCAACTACCGGATAGAGTTATAGCTCAAGGGAGGAAAGAAGGGGAGAGAAAGAGGACGGGAAAATCATTGACAGTCTCCTAAAAGAACTCCAGACAAAATGTGTGTGTGTGTGTGTGTGTGTGCGTGTGTGTGTGTGTGTGTGTGTGTGTTGGACTTGGAAGGTAGAAGGAGGAGGAAAAGATCTGTCCTATAAAAGGCTGGTTCCTCCAACAGTAATTTCTGTGGGCCTAAACCCAGGCCGCACACTAAGGAAAGAGGTAGAGGGAGGAGACATGTAGCCTTTGACTTCCTGAAACTCCCAGTCTGATAGAAGATACATGGTGCCTGCCCTAATAGGGACAATAAGATAAGACACAAACTGAGACAGAGAAACCAGAACAGAATACATAGCAGCTAGACAGAATTAGAAACATAAGCACTAGACTTCTTTCCTAGAACGGTTCCTTCCTGATTAAAGCAGCTTGTCTGATTTCTAGAAGTACAGAGAGATCGTCTGACAACCGCCTAGGTCACCATTTCCCTTCTTCTATTTAACTCTCAATAACTGGTCCTTCTTCAGTTTTTAATGGCTTAGATACGCTATGCAACTTTACTACTACAATATTTACAATATTTTATAATATTGCTATTACTACTATAAGTACTATTACTACTACTACTACTACTATAACTACTGCTACTACTACTACTACTACAACTATTATACACACACACACACACGTCATGAAGACACATACACATCTTCCTTCTGTTAGGTCAGTACAATCAGTTGTCACAACATGTCAAACACTTTTCAGAAATCTCAGGTTTTATCTCAGTTCACATGGAATGAAGTGGGTTAGGTATTAGAGGGTGGGGCTCTAGCATAAGCATAATAAATCCTAATTACCCAAGCTATTTCCTATTTAGATCCCCTAGGAAATAGAGATTGAAAAAAAAAGAAAAGGAGATTGATTTTATTAGGCATTTGCTGGATCTCAAAGTTTTAACTTCTTGGCTAAATACTATAGGTACCCAAGAAATGCTTGTTGAATGAAGGTGATTCCAAGAATGAAGATTTGTTTCTCAAAACAGTAGAAGTGTCATATATCAGAAAGATAGTTCTGAGGGACAGTGTAGCATAGTGAGAAACTGCCTTGGAGCCTGGATGACTGGCATTCAGGTTCCAGTTGGCTTAACCTCTGACGCGTAATTAGCTAGGTAACTTGGCCTCAGTGTCTCAGGCAAGCTTCAGCGCTATGTCAATGGAGAGAGTTTTACACTCCAGGATACCATCAATGAAATCACAAGTGTGGACCAAACATACATTAGGAGGCTCACTTTAGTACTCTCTTAACTTGGAAATCCTCACACATATGAAAGTATGGAAGAATGAAGATAACAGTGCTGTGGCAAACAGTGCCATGCAGGGACTTAAACTCAGAAATCATCTATATGTATGTGTGTATATGTACATACATACATACATGTATATATGTATACGTATACATATACACTCATAAGGAAATGGAGGGAGAGAGGGAGAGAGACAAAGACAGAGACAGAGTTAAAGAGAGCAAGAGACAGAGAAAGAATGAGAGAGAATATCAAAGAGAAAGAACGAGAGGAGACAGAGACAAAAAGAATGAGAGAATGAGAGAACAAGAAAGAGAGAATGAGAGAAAGAGTGAGAGGTCAAATGATTTGCTCATTCCCATGGGTATCTTTCAGATCACACCTTTTGGGATCACCCATTAAGGCGCTCCTGTTGACTAGATGGTGTATGTAGCTGGAATGCCATATACACAGCCCCTAGGTCACTCCCCATTGTCCTCATAGAAAGTCATCTCAGGGGCAGGTAGGTGGTGCAGTGGATAGAGCTCTTGGAGTCAGGAGGACCTGAGTTCAAATTTGACCTCGGACACTTACTAGCTGCGTGACCCTGGGCAAGTCACTTAATCCTGACTGCCTCACCAAAAAGCAAAAAAACAAACAGACAGTCATCTCTGCACAGACTGCTGCTGCATTCCCAGTATTGTACCCTCTCAATTTCCCACACTAGTGGAGAAGGGTAAAGGCACAGGTGATCCAATAAAATGATTTTTTTTTTGAACCCCAGTTATTCCTGACTGTGGAAGAGTTTGATATCCAGCCAACTGAAAATGTGCCTCTGCTCTCTGCTCATCACTGCCTGCTTTTTGTTGTCACCTTGATCCTTGTGAGCCATCCTTGGCTCAGCTCTACTCTCAGGGCCTGGGCAAGGATGGAGAAGGAGGGCCAGCACTGCCGAAGATCATTTGGAAAATGGGCCATCTGAGAACGGATAGCCTGGTAGGAAGCTCCACCTTCCTGTACCCAAGGAGGCAGAAGGATAAAGGCTGGACCCCGCAGCAGAAGACGCTGCAGAAGGCCTCACCTGAGCTCTCTCCCCAGCTCCCAGAGGTTCTCACCTAGTGCTTGGATACATTGCAACAACGCAACGCAAAGAACACTCTACCTTAGAGTTAGGGAGCCTGGGTTTCAAATCCTGGCTCTATCATTTATCATTTGTACCATCTGAAAGATGCCTGTGGGAATGGGTAAATCATTTGAGCTCTCTGGGCCTCATTTTCCTAGTTTGTAAAATAAGAAGATTGGGCTAGGCGATGTCTGGGGCCCCTTCCAGGTCTAAGAATTGTGATCCTAAGTTTGAATTTGAATGAGTGAAGAAACTTGCTATCATTATTGTATGTGAAGGGGGCAGTCCAGTCAAAGTGGCTTTCCTGCGGGGCCTCATGCGCGATCCTCTGCCTCCCACCTCCATGCCTTTGGCACTGGAGTGTCCACAATGCCCTCCTTCGTCCCTTCCATCTCTCAGAAGCCTTAGTTCTAAGGCTCAGCTCAGCTACTGCCTTCTACGTGAGGCCTTTCCTGATCCCCCAGCTGCTAATGCTTCCTTCCCCTAAGATACTTTGTCCCTATTTTGTATACACCTGTACAAGTACACTTCTTCCCCAGAGACTCTTGATGTAAGCCCCTTGAGGGCAGGGAGAGTTTTTGCTTTTGTCTTTGTATCTTAGAGGCAGAAGGATGGTGCCGTGGATAGACTGCCAGACTTGAAATCAGAAAGACGCGATTTCAAATCCAGCCCTAGACACTTAATAGGTGGATAACCCTGGCCAACTCACTTAACCTCTCTGAGCCTCAGTTTCCCCATCTGTAAAACGGGAACAATAACAGCACCTACCTCTCAGGGTTGTGAGAATCAAATAATAAGCTATATGAAGTACTATATAAATGCTAGCAATGACTGTATCTCCCCACAACCTAGCCTGGCACACAGTCCGTGCTTAATCTTAATGCTTTTTGATGGAGTCAGTGACTGCAGGACCAGAGTCCTAAGGGGGGATGAGAGAAAGACACTTCTACAAGGCTGCTTTGTCGAAGGCTCTGCCCCAAAGTTCCCTTTTAGAGGCAATGCCTAAATAATTCATTTTATTGGCGCCACCCATCGACGGGTGGCCCCAGGCACAATGAGGAGCTAGTGCAGGATGCCGGAGGAGCTGCAGCAGAGAAGCCAGGAGGTTTGTGTCCACTCTCTCTCCGCCCCATGACGATATTGGGGGGAGGAGGCCTCATGTTCCATAGCAAAAGGACTTCCTCCCACCTCCTCCAGAGTACAAGTTAAAGGGAAGAGAAAGCAGGAGCTAAAATAGCGTGCCATCCCCCTCCACCCCACTCCCATAATCCTTCCACCCCAAATGCAGCGAGAAGCTTTCGAGCTCAACCGATGCCATTCAGCCAACCTGAGAGGGAGGAACCACCTCTGTGGGTGGGGGCAGCGGGAACAGGGGCTACAGAGAACCAGTCACTCGGGGGGGGGGGGGGGGAGGAGGGAGGAAGAGGATGCAGGATCCGAGGGAGACACAGCACGGGCAGCATGCAGAGGGAGGGAGGAAGGAGGGGACAGAGGCTGGGCAAGCAGAGGAGAGACGTGAGAGATGGAGAGAAACACAAAAAGGAAGGAAGAGAGACAGGAAAACCAAACGCGAGCGCTGTACCTCAGGACCTCCGAGATAGAGGAGTCGCTGTCATCAGACCTGGGGAGGGCAGAAAATTAGCTGGATTAGGGGGTGGGGAGAGAGGAAGAACAAACAAAGCAACAGAAGGAGAAGAGGCAGCAGCAGAGCTGGGAAGGTCAGAGGGTTATTTTCCTCCAGAGAGAGGCAGAAAACTGAGTGTGGGGTGGGGTGAGGTAGGATCAGAGAGGATTGCAGAAGGAGAGGGAGAGAGGAGGGGTGGGGGGAGAGCTGAGGGCCAGGCCTAGATGCTAGGGTGCCAGGGCAGACTCCTCAGGAGGGTCAGAGACAGGACGACCCTTCGGACTAACTGGACTGGGCCAGGAAGACAGGAATTACGGGAAGAGGGCTATGGGGAAGAGATGGGAAAGGGCCAGCCCTTGACTGGGGGCAGGAGGTGGTGATGGTTCTTGGGCCCTGTTTGTCCAGTTTCAAGCTCTCCAGCTGCCCCGAAGCTTAAGCCGGAGGGCATGCTGCCCTCAAGCCAGTAGCACCCAAATCCCACCCTGCGAGGGCCATGATGCTTCTGCACAGGCCAAAAGGATGCAGCCACCATCTTCTCCAGGCCCTCTACCTAAGCCCATATTGGGCACGAGCTAGGCGCTAGCAGCAGAGCAGCCAGCATGGACCGAGCAAGAGCAGTTCCTGAGCTGGCCACCCTTGGATGCTGAGCACCCAAGCCTCGGTTCTCAGAAACCCTCATGTTACTGATTTGCAGAGCCTACTGAGGTCCTAGAGGTTCCTCTGGGGCTCCTACTCCCCTGGGTCTCACAGACTTAATACGGCCAAAGCACACTGGCACCTATGCCCTCTATGCTGAGTCTTTTCTCACCCTGCTTGGTATAAGTGATGCCTTTGGCAGAATTTCCTATGCCCCCCTACTCCTACCCACCAGGGGACCCTCTCTCAGGGTAGCTGGGTCCAGGTCAGGGACGGAGCTTCATGCTCCATTCCTTTACCAAGGGGCACTCTGAATTTTGAAGGACAGCCTCCAGGCCCACCTTTCTCACCCTTACCTCTCTGATTCCTGTAGGAACATGAGTCATCAGAGGTAGGGGGAGTCGAGGGGATCGGGGTCAGCTTAGTGATATGCTGAGGAAGCTCATTTTTTACTGAGGGATTTTTTTTCAAGTCCAAGGTGAATGATTTTCCCAGCAGGATGGTCAGTGCTGGGTGTGGGTCAATCCTCTGACACCATGGACCAGACAAAGGAAGGTGCCGAGTCAGTCCCTCTGCAAATTTGGACCCCTGGACAGATGAGAGAGCCATCTGCCCCTATCTGGCAGCAGAGGCTGCCTCGGATGAGGGTCCTAACTCTCCAGCCAGCTGAGTGGAGACAAGCTGCAGGGAGCCTGAGAAGGGGCCTGTGGGAGAGGGAGGTGGCTCTCCAACATCGCCAAGGCAAATACCACCCATCATGGTGGCAGATTTCCTCACTTCTCAGTCTGTGAGACAGAGACCAAGTGCACCATGGGGTTGGGGTAACCAAGGCATAGATTTAAAGAAAGTAGAGCAGATTTTGCCCTGCACTGGCACCGGCACCTACCAAAGGAGCCCCTTTTCTGCTGGCAACCTATGAAACACATCACGGAGGTCTAAAGAGTCCTGTCGAAGCATTTGTCTTAGAGACAAAGGAGGGACAGAAGGTTCTAGTACTTAAAGTCCCACCATTGAACAGTGGGGACCACTGCCATGGTCATCTGATGCTGAAGGACCAGAGAGGGGCCCAAAGTCTGCATTGAAGAGGGGTCAAAGGGCACACTCCCTGTGGGCCAGGCCCAGAACAGGGTGAGGTGTAACTCTCAAATTTTCTTCTCCTCCCCTCCTACCATCCTATACCAGAGGACAAGAGTAGGACCTGAATAGTCTCCAGAGAGGACAGATGACATTAGGAGGGACATGAGGACCTTATGCTTCAGAAGGGGCCCTGGGAACCTGGAGGAAGGGCAGGGAGGGAAAGGAAGGGGGAGAGAAGGGGATTTAATTCCTTGTTTGTCCCTGGGATCTAACCCAGGTTCAGCTTCCTCTCCCCTCCTCCCCCAGTGTTGCCCCCTCCTCCCCCTGGATCCCAGCCCTTGAGCCCCTGAGGCCCCAGCTCTTACTTGTCCAGTGCTGACCCCTGGCTCTGATTGCTGGTGAGGCGAGAGAAGACGTTGCGGTCATTGCGGGGCCGCGTAGGGGGGGACGAAGGGGGTGTGAAGGCCATGTCCGAGGACCTGGAGTGGGGCCAGGAGCAGAACATGGGAACTCACTACCTTCCAAGGCATCCTGTTCCCTTCTGGAATAGCTCTGATTGTTAGGAAGGTCTGCCTTACACGGAATCTAATCTTTCTGTGTCCTCTTTACCCAGTGTAGAGGACTCCCTTTCCCCACGCCAACTGCTTTACAACTTAGGGTCTTGAGAGCTGTCTGCGGGTGGTTTGTCCAGGGTTACCCAGATGGCATATGTCAGAGGCTGAATTTAGACCCTGATTCCAAAGCAGCGTTATTATTATTATTATTATCATTATTATTACCTATTACACCCTGCTGCCTCTTCCTGAGTCTAACATTGACTTCTTATGGTGAGAAAACTTCACAATAATGTCTGAGAGGCAGCATGGAATAGAACAGATGACCCTGGGGTCATCCAGCTCAGCCTGTGACACGTATTAGCCATGTGGCCACGGGCAAGTCCCTTAACCTATTGGTACCCCAGGGAGGTCTGTCTCTAAGACTGGAAGTTATAGATGAGCTGCTGGGCCGCATTGATCAAACGGATCTCCTCTTTTAGAGTTGTCTACAATGAAAAAATCACAGGTCTGGACTAAAACCACAAAAACCAGAAACACATCCAGTAAGAGCTCAGCGTCTAGCCTAAACCTCTCAGACTGCATTTTAAGTCCATTTTCTTCGTCGTCTTGAGTGCAATGAAACACCGAGGAGAGGAGAACACTCCTTTGTGTACGTAGCTCACCTCTCAGGGCTGCTCAGAAGGCACCTAGGCATTTGAGGTTATATTTGGAGGAGAAAGTGGATGGAGGCTCGGGTTGCTGAGCCATCTCGTCTCTCTCCTGGCCCTCCCAGACAACAGGCAAGAAAGACGGTGGGGTTCAACTGAAAGACTGATGGGCCAGAGACCTGGATTTCTGGATTTGAATCCTGGTTCTACCACTAGCTTACTGTGTGACTCTCCGGACCTCAGCTTCTTCATCTGGAGAATAAGGGAATGAGATAATCCCTAGGGTCCCTTTCAGCTCTGACAGTGTCTGGTTCTATATCACCAAACCCTAGAGGTTAATATCACCACATATATACCAGTCCTCACCATGATGACCCATTTGGGGATATCTCACTGCTCTTAAAAGTGTTGGCACCTATGGGTTGGCATCACGAGAGGTTACCATGTTGGCCGGGTAGGGACTGACTTAACCTGTATTTCTCCTCTTTGGCTCCTGAGTTCCCAATGCAAGGCCCTAAAGAAACCTCAGAAAAGTAATCAGATCTGAGGATTAGGGCACTTCTTATAGACCTGCATTAATGGAAAAGACCAGAGGCAAAATAGTTTAAAAAAAAAAAAAGTAATCTCAAGCACTACATAATGCAAAAGCCATTTATAGCTGACACCCATGAAATGACTTTTGAGAAGCAGGTTTACATTTTTAATTAGGTATGGGTTAGGTCAGTATGAAAATTAATTCACATTCTCTGCGTCCATGACTGGTAAGGATAGGAAGATAGATCAGGGACATCTCAAGAGCTGAAAGGGTTGTCTGATCCAGCTTATTCCTGAACATGAAACCCATTGGCAACCCACTCGACCCATGGTCATCCAGCCCCCCCCCCCCAGTGAGGGGGCACCTATTGTCCCCCAAGGCAGCTAGGTGACAGAGAGACTGTGCCAGGATTTAAAAATCTGCCTGGGATGGTGCACGAAGTAGATAACCTCCCACGAAAGGTACAATGCACGATATGGATGATTTAGTGCGGGCTATAGTCCTACTCCCCTACCTGATAGGTTGCCCTCGGTCATAGGACTTCCTCCGGGTGAGAGGCGAGGTGTCAGAGCCTCGGGATTGCCGAGGACTAGAACAGGTGGATAAAAGTACAATGAGCCCAAGAGGGTTCCCAAACCCCCAGGAGCAGATATCTTCCCTCTCACCTTCCCTCCCCAGTCCCTCTTCTTGTCCTTACAAGGTGCTGCCGCGGGTGGGTAGGCTGATGGTGCGTGAGACCTTATCTCGGTAGTACGGGTCTCGGACGGAGAAGCCCACACCGTCCTCCTTGATCTCCACAAGTGAGGCCAGAGACTTAGTGATGTTCTTGGTGGAGATGTCCAGTGGGGGACCCAGGCACTCAGCTGACACCGCCTTCATTTGAGCAGACAGCTTGGGCTCCCCCTGCAGAGGAACAGGGTGAGAGCAGGTCTACTTAGTGGGATGATCACATACTCATGAAGGCAGAGTTAAGGATGAAAACTTCCAGGGTAGAGTTTCTGAGGATTGGTGATTCACCACGGAACACCACTGGGCAATGACTTCAGGGATAGAGCTTAGCTATGGCTACCACTGTGGTAGTACAGTGGAGTGGACAGAGCACTGAACTTGGAGTCAAAAAGACCCAGGTCTGAACCTCACCTCTAACACTAGCTATGTGACTGTGGACAGGTCACAACCTCTCTGAGCCTCAGTTTACCTATTTGCAAAATGGGCATCATTGTTCTTGTATTATCTATCTCATGGGGTTTTAGTGAGGCTCAAATGAATAATGTGCTCTGCTATTATCAGTATTGCTATTACTGTGAAGACTTTTTCTTAGGCCCATGGGCACATGTTTCAATGGTTGCTACTAAGGCAAACCCTCCCTGGAAAGAGAAGACAGAAGTCATGCTGGGTCAGAAATTGAAGAGGGAGTGGGGAAGACCCAACTTGGAAAAGTGTGGAAAGGGCTGAGAAGATGTAAGGAGGGGCCCTAGTCACTCACCTTGAACTTGAAATCATCATGGCTGGTAGAACCTTTCATGGTGAAGGACTGGGAGAAGCTGGGGAAGACAAAGAGGTTACTAGCTCGGGTCTATCCCATTCCTTCATCACATCCACATCGGCAGTGGGTATAACCTCCTGGACTTGGGATCACTCCCAACCCCAGCCCAGGGCCACTGCTCTTTACTCCCACGTGGCCCCCTTGCCCGGCCCTCAGCATGTTCTGCCAGCTGGGTCCCTGTGGTTTCCAGCAGGGAAACTCACCTCCCCTCTGAGAACTCAGAGATCTCCTCATCTGTGCTGCAGTATCCATTTTCTGTGAAAAGGAAGAGGAAAGGCTCTGTTATGAGACGGGAGAGGGGAAGGACAGGAGGGGAGAACCAGAACTGTCCCCATCCCTCCAAGTCATTGCTTTTGCTGTAGAGGAACTAGAGGAAGAGGGAATATATCTCCCATGACTGGGGAGTTTCCCCTTTCATTCCCCCATCCCATCTGCCTAAGACCAAATGGATAACTCTATGGAATTGGGCTGGGCATCAAGGGGAGGTGAGGCTAAGCAGCTCCCCTGGTTCCCATGTCCAACCCTGGAAAAGCACCAATGGAGCAGGTGAACTGCTCGCGCTCCCTGGCTAGGGGGCCCTCCTTTCACCTCTTACCCTGCTGCATGTTGTGGATCAGGGCCTGTAGCTCAGGGTGGGCCTCGGCCTTCTCTCGAAGGGCATCCAGGATCAAATGGTTCTGAGAGGAGTTGTTCATATCTGTTTGCCTCAGCCGCCCCTCCAGCAGCCGGATCTGGGCCTCCTTCTGGGCCACCTGTAGACCCTGGTGAAGAAGGAACAGAGAGGGGTCACCCATCCCTGCCGGGGGTGGCTTGTGCTAAGCACCGTCCTTCCTCCTGAGACTCCTTCCCCAACCCAGCTCCCTTGGGACAGTCCTGTTCTCCTTTCCTTTTCTAGATATTATGGGGTCAAACAAAGGGAAGGAAGAGAGAGAGACTGTTTTTACCAAAAAAATAAGGGAGGGAACCTTTTCACTTCAGCCCCTCGGGACAGGCCCCCACATCTAGGACAATGGACCTCAACACCCCTCTATGTGTCCCATCACTCCCCGCATAGCTGCAGTATACTGGTAGCTAAGTTCTGCTCAAATTGGTCTTTGGGGTCACTTTTTTCCTTCTTCTAAGAGATTTTATAGTGTGCTATACTTCCCCTATTAGATTCTTTTTTTTTTTTTTTCTTTTTTTGCTTTTTGGTGAGGCAATCAGGGTTAAGTGACTTGCCCAGGGTTATACAGCTAGTAAGTGTCAAGTGTCTGAGGCTGGATTTGAACTCAGGTCCTCCTGACTCCAAGGCTGGAGCTCTATTCACTGTGCCACCTAGCTGCTCCTTACCTTATTAGATTTTTAAGCCCCATAAAGGCCTGAATACACCTGTCCCTTATACAGTGATGCCAGTATGAAAAGAGTAGGGAAGGTAAGGGCAAAGAAGGTATGGCTGGCACTAAGATAACTCACGGTTCCAAAATGGCGGTGTAGTACTATGGAACAAGTTGGATTTGGACTCACAGGACTTGGGTTCAAATCCCAGCTTTGCCAATTAGTACTCAACTTCTCTAGGCCTCAGGTTCCTCATTTGTAAAATGAGGGGGTTGGACTAGATGACCTCTGGAGTGCTTTCCTGTTCTAAATCTATGATTCAGTGATTTCTTTGAGGCTCAAATTGCTTGTACCCAAAATGGATTCCCATACATATATCCCTTGCCCTTCCTGTACCTCCGTCTACCTCATTCTTAGCCCAAGTACCCTTCAGGCTTAGCCCTACGTCTTATCCTTCAGTCCAAAGATGCAGAATTGAGAATTGGATCATATAATGAAATAAGGAGCCGCCTCCTCCCCTCCCCATCCTCATCATTTGAGAGAGGATATTATTCTTACTGCACCACCCTAGCATCCAGTCCCAGGCTCACTGCACACAAGGTAAAGAAGACAACGGTGAAGGTGATTACCTTTTCAATGGAGGCCTTGAGAAAGTTGTCCAACAAGAGTCGGGCTTCCGCCAGTGAGCAGGAGCTGATGACCACTGATGTGTCTGTGGAGTCGAGCTCCTCCTAGGACAGGGAAATGAAAGGCAGATGGCGCCCCCCGGTCAGTCCCAGAGGCAGGAAGGGAAGACAGAGCTGGGCTTAGCTTCCCTTCTATCCCCTGAGGACTGCCTGCCCGATAGTCACCTTGGTCTCCTCCAGCTGTACAATGGTGGCCTGGCAATCAGAAATGCTGTCATTGATATAGTCAATATTGGCTGCTAGCACCTCGATCTCTTCGCTCAGCTCCTGTAGCCCCTTCTCCTCCTCTGGGCTCTCTTCCTGAAGTCTCTCCCTCTTCCTCCTCAATGTTTCCTGAAGGAGAAATAGCTCCTCCCTTTTCTATGGATGAGACCAGAACAGAAGAGAGGGTCAATCATTATTACCATAACCAATATTATTAACACCATCATCATCACTATAACCATCATCTCACTATCGTTATCAACATTACCATCTTCATCATCATTATCACCATCATCAGCACCACAGTCATCACCACCAATACCATCATCACCAACACCATCATCATCAACATCACCACCATCATCATCATCATCATATTCATCACCACCATCACCATCACCATCTTCATCATCATCATCACCATCATCCACACCACAATCATCACCATTATCATCATCATCATTACCATCATCACCATCAACATCACCATCTTCATCATCACCACCACCACCACCATCATCATTATCACCATTATCATCAACATCACCATTGTCATCATCACTATCACCATCATCATCATCACTCAGGGGCTATATGGTGTGGTGGATAGAGATCTGGCTTGAAGTCTTGCTTTGTATGATCTCAGTGATCTAAGTCAGAGGTGTCAAACACAAGGCCTTGCCTTGTGCATGTGGCCCACAAACTCTTGAGTGCAGCAGAATCAGATTAAAATGTGGTTCTTATTGGACTTTAATGTGTTGATGTACCAACAAAAAAAGAAATGAAGAAGCAGGTGTGGTTTTCTAAGTCAACATGTGGCCTGCAGGAATCCTTATGTGTGATCCTTATGTGTGATGAGTAGCCCCAGTTTCTATCTGAGTTTGACACCACTGCTCTAAATAACTCTCTAAGACCCTAAATTATGGAGAAGGCGCCCTCCTGCATTGGTAAAGAGAGCTTCCTCATTTAGAAGCTCCCTATATCAGTGCCATCAGAGGTCCGGTCCCCATCTCCTGTCCTAATATTTCTGTAGTGCTTTAAGATCTGCAAAGCACTTTATATGGATTATTTCAATTGAGTAGCACAAAAGGAAACAACTGTTAATATCTTCCTTAATTAGGATCTCCTTATAGCTATCCTGTAAAAGGGGCAGCCAGGTGGTGCCATAGTGCATAGAGTACCAGGCCTGGAGTAAGGAAAACTCATCTTCCTGAGTTGAAATCTGGCCTCAGACAGTTGTGTGTGATCTTGGGCAAGTCATTTAACCCTATTTGCCTCAGTTTCCTCCTCTGTGAAATGAGCCAGAGAAGGAAATGGCAAATCACTCCAGTATCTGTGCCAAGAAAACCTCAAATAGAGTCAGACACAACTGAAATGGCTAAACAACAAGAAGAAAGAAGAACTCCTTATTATCTTACATGCAGACTTTTTAACTGTCAAGAAATCATCTCCAAAGATATTGACAGAATAGCCACAAGTTAGAAAGGACTTTCTACAGCATAATGAATGGAAAGAATGCTGGATTGTAAATTAAGGTGGTTAGCCTGGATGGCCTCTGGGTCTCTTTCAGTTTCAAATCTAAGTTCCTCTGAGCCTCTGTGTGAAATTGCTTATCTTCCCTAGGCATCAGTTTCTTCATCCATAAAATGGGAGTGAGGGTGGATTCTATGGCCACTAAGATTCCTTCCAGGCCGATACTGCTGATCCTCTGCCCATCATTGAAGATCTGGACCCAACCTCCTCTCCAGCTTTGTGTCCCAAGGAATAGTGATTCCTTGGATAGTTTCTGTAAATTTCCTACTTCTATACCATTTCTTATTTTGCTAACCTCTACCTTGAATGCCCTCCCTATAAGCTCTCACACATTTTCATTTTATTAGAATCCTACCTAACCTTCAAAGATACTAGCTAGAATGATGATGATGATGGTTATCACCATTATTGATATTTTCATCAATCAATCAATAATCATTTATTAAGCACCTACTATGTACCAGGTATCAAACCCAGGTCTTCCTGACTTGAGCCAAGTACTCTATCCACTATACCACTATACCATACTGCCTCTATATAGCCATGTATAGCCCAAAGATAAAACCCTGTCCCTTCCCTTTTCCCTTCCTCTTAACTAGACGACTCAGGCTTAATCTTCTAGGTACTTCTCAGCATCATTAGAATCCACTCAAAGAAAAAAAAAGGGGGGGCAGGGGAAGAGAGAGAGAAAAGGGAAATGAAGAAAAGTCTAACTAATCTGACTAATCTGGAAAGAAAGTGAAGTCAGAATTTAGATAATAGAAGGTGGAGAAAAGAAAAGATAGAATTAAAACAAAGGGAAGAGGGAGCCCAGCAGGGGAAAAAAGAAATGTCTGCCTTTTCTCTAATGAACAGATGCCTCCTTCAATGCAATTCAATAGGCATTTATGCAGCCCTACTATGTGCACAGTACTGTGCTAGGTGTTGGGGTGGACACACAATTAAGATATGATGGTCTCTGCCCTTATGAAACTCCCACTGGGAGTGGAGGACATCGAGGCATTTTGCCCCAACCTCAGCACCAGGACCCATTCTCCTCTACCTTGATAAGCCTTTCCATGTCGGCCTCTAGGTTGACGATGGTCATCCTCTGCATGACAATGTCGATGATGCGCCGTTCTAGGGACTGCCACTTTAACCTGGCAGCCTTGCTGAAGCTCTGGCTAGCCCCCTTCTTCTGGAACTTCTTCCTGAAGGGAAAGCGGCGAGGGGCTCATCACTACCCAGATCTCAGCTGCTGCTGCTGCCCCTACTGCCCTCTCTACCCATGCCAAAGCAACCCAATGTCTATTCTGAGGAGCTCAAGCAAGAATGGTGTGTTGGGAGGTGGGGGTGGGGAAGAAGAATCAATCAACCAAAAAGAATTTATTAAGCATCTACCATGTTCCAGCCAATGGGGATACAAAGTCCCAGGTCTCAGGGAGCTTATGTTTTATTTGAAAAGAAAAAAAAAAAAGAAAGGAGGCTAATATAGTTCTGGTGGGTTTCTACTCTGACCTCACAGAAGGGACAATATGTGCAATGCTCACAGCCACCCAATCTGACCTGGCAGGACGGGTGCCGTTGACCGGGGTTGCTGGGTCCCCCAGAAAGTGGTTGATCTTTCGATTCCATTGGCGCACGATGCTTGAGACAGATCGGGCTCCAGACTCTGCCTCAGATGAGGTGGCGCTAGCTGACACCTCCGCTCCCGAGTCCAGCATGGGAGGCTTTGTCACTACCCGGCCCGCCGCCCGCTCTGACATGGGCTTGGCCAGGCGTCGCAGCGCAGACACCTAAAAGGAAGGAGGAGACCCCGTGGGCTTCTCACACTCTTCAGCAATCCCACTGGGGCAGACAAAGAGGCATGGAAAAGGCCTGGGGAGAGGGGACAGAGGCAGTCCAACGAGCCCAAGCTTCTGATAATGGGCCCCAGGGATAGCTAGAATAATAAATCAATCAACGTGCTTTCATTGCAGGCCTAGTGAAACCACCTGGTCATTTATCCAAATTAGATCTAGGGCTGGGGCAGAGAAAGAACCTGGGGAATGTCTGTCTTTGATATACAGCAAAAAATAAATGTGCAAATGATTCCCACCACAATATGCAAATGAATATCTGTTATCTCTGAGTCAACAGCTCTGACACTACTGGTAAGAGACCAGCAGCCCTGCCCAGGAATACCCATGGACCCCAGAATAGGGAAGAACTGTTCCCAAAGTCAAAAGGAACTTCCCTTCCAAACTCTAGAATTGGGGAATAGCCCCTTTCAGCAACAGCCACCTCAGTGGTGGTGGTGGTAGTGGTAGATAGAAAGGAAGAGGAAAGGGGGTGTTTCTGGGTGGGATTCCTGCCCAGCCCCACTGGGATGAGCTCACCTCCTGGGTTTTTCTCCTCAACACCATCTCCTGCTGGCGCTTCTGAGATTCCAGAGCCCGGATCTGAAACTGTATGGGAGAAGGAGGTCAAGGGTGAGAGAACTGGCACTTGGGATCTCAAAGCACTCTAAGTTCACCGGGTTGTTGTAGAGAGTGCAACAGGGAGGCCTCTCTTCATCTCTACAGAGAGGGAAACTTGAGTTTCACAGAGGGCCAGTTGCAGCTCATGCTCTAACATGGGTCTTCTTCCATAGAACTCTGACTCCCCCCACCACATCCATTTAGAGAATTACTTCCTTAATGGAAGGCATATCCATTACCCAGCTTGTACCTGTGTGCAAGACTTGGACTTGAGGAGAGAGCACATCCTCGTCCTTCCCTGGGACCCGAGACTTATAGATTTGATTTGCCCGTGATAATGCCATAATGGCTTCAAAGGCCCTACTAACTAGCTATGTGATCTTGGGAAGGTCACTGTGTAGTTCTTTGGACTAAAGTTCCTTCCTTGGTAAAATGAGAGAGTCTCTAAAGACCCTTCTAGTTTCACATTCCGCAGTTCTATCATCCAGAGTTCTCTCTGAAATCCCTTCATTCATCCAACTGAGCACTAATTATGTGTCAAGCTCTGGGCTGGACACTGGAGATTCAATGACAAAATCATCTGCCTTCAGGGAGCTTACTTTCTACTTCCTTCCAAACAGCCCAAGAATCTTCTCTGAGTTATTATTCCTGCAGTTGGGAGGGAACCTTTACTGAAAGAATGGCTGCCCTTGGTCAGCAGGGGGAGCCTGGTGGCTTAGGGACAGTGGTCCTCACACATATTATAAATCAGCCAGAAGGAACCTCAGAGACCCACATGAGAATTTCCCCTTTAAAAGAGCCAGTAACCCAAATATTGCTTGAAGACAGTCCATTGCACGTTGGAACTGGTCTAATAATAGTCAGGAAGTTTTTCTTCCTATTAAACTGAAATCTGAATCTTGGTAACTTTTATCTTCCCACTCCTCATTCTGCCCATTGGGGCACCCTTCACATGACATCCCATCAAATATTAGAAGACAGCTCTTCCATCCTCCACCCCCTAAGTCTTCTCTTCTCCAGGCTACTTCCCATATGGCATACTGGTTACTAGTTGCTCTCTCCTTTACCAGTCGGGGCTAAGAAGGACCTTAGTTGATCAATAAAGTCCCACTCTCTTTATACTGAAATCACAATGACAGTTTCTTATATTTATCTAGTGCTTTAGAGTTTACAAAGTGCTTTCATACATATCATCTAATGCTCACAGCTACCCTATGGCATAGGTAGGGATTCTAGGGCTAATAGGGACCTCAGAGTTCACCTTGTTGAAATACTTCATTTTGCAAATGAGCAAACCAAATCCCAGAGGGGTAATAAGTAAATGGCTACTTGTCTAAGGTCACACAGGTCCTGCAGTTGACTTAATCACAAGAGTTGACTTCCTGAACAATGTTAGAACCTAAATATATTTCCATTACTCACAATGCTATGAATTAGGGTAATTTCTTTTCAATGGAAAACTATAGCTAATTGGGTCATTCTTGGTCATTTCCTGTGGCTGCTCTCAGACTCCCAATTTTGCAGACTTGTTCGCTCATCTTCCTACCCATTCAGATCAAAAGCAGAGATGTTCCTTCTCACCAGGGCCCCCCCTAAGCACTAGCTCCTTCTGAATTCTCAACGACTGAAGGCTCAGGGGGTGAGCAGGAGGAGCTCACGAAGAACTATCTGTGCACATGAATTGGGGTGGGTGGTGGTGGGAGAAGACAAGTGGGACCCCCTCACCTCCTGCCGCCGTTGCTCCTTCTTGAGCTGTGCTATTTCCCTGTTCCTCTTGGTTTCTACCAGCCGCCTCCGTTGCTGCTCCTCCCTCATTTGCTTCATCAAGGCCACCTACAGAAGGGTGACAGAGCATTAGCATGAAGACTTGGTCTAACGGAGAAAGAGAGACCCACAGATGGGCTGTCCAAGAAGAGACTGGATATATCCTTCATGGCCCATCAGGTACCATTTGAATGGGGGGAGGGGAGAAAGAGACACAGAGGGGTCATAAGGCAAAGTGATGATCAAGAACTACTCTTCCCAGACAACATAGTTATCTAGACACTTGGCTTGGGAAGAGAAGGCACAAAAGTACAGAAAGCTGCTAGATCCCTAGTATCCATAGACATGGAATCTCAGGGTTGTAAGAAAGCTCCAAGGTCACCTGATATAACCCATACTCAGGCAGGAATCCTCTCTATTACATCCTGGCAGCTTTTCAAGTCTCTTGATGACCTCCAGTGATAGGGAACTCATCACACCTCCTGAGGCAGCCCATTATGTTTTCAGACAGCTTTGATTTTTAGGAAGCTCTTCCTTTAAATGAGCCAAAATCTTTCACTTTGCAGCTTACACACATTGCTCCTAGTTCTGTCCTGTTATGACAGGAATGCCTCAGTGACCTGGCCTGAAATGTAGCCCTCAAATGATGAACTCAAGTCAGAGTAAGAATGGAGCCAACTTGTTGGTTTGAAAGTTGACTGGATTACCAGGCTCCAGCTCTTTTTCAAGAGTCTCGTGACTGGGTAGAGAGCCTTCTATTAACCAATGATAGAAATATGCAGATCCCACTAAGTGCTAAACTCTGACCCCCACCCTATCCCCACCTTGTGACACTACACAAAATCCCCTTTGGAGGATACAGATAGAGCCATAACCAGATGGCAAAGTAGCAGGAAATAGACCCTTAATTCATTAGTGGGGGGTGAAAAAGGCGCCCAGACACTGCAAAGCTGATGCTAAGGAAGTGGGCTTGGGATAAGCTCCCTGGGAGGTAGCAGAATAGGGACTGGGGGGAAGAAGCAACCCATCTCTTAACTTTTTAATTTTTACCTAATCATTCTTGCTCCCTGGATATTTCTAAGTCGATTTATTTTTTCTGAAGGTCCTCAAGTCCTATTAGTACTCTCTAACCTCGAGCACCATGGAACAGAGGCTTCCTTTGCCCAGCCCAAGGTATGGATGACTCTGAATACAGATCTGAAGAATTGCACTTTCTGATCAAGCACACATTTCTACAGCTTCAAGCAGAAACAGGTGAGAAAGTCTCTAGGTACATCATTAACAACCTGCTGAAATGTGGTTGCAATGTGGCAGAGCCTGAACAGAAATGACTGCAGAGTCCAAATGGCCAGATATTGCATGCCAAAGGCAGTTTTCAACTCATCTCCCCTTTGAATTCTTACTCAGTTGTAGGCCACACATAGGGCCAATTTGGTGGACCACCTTATGCTAAGCAGCTGTTGTGACAGCTCCATGATGAGTGAGGAGGTCACCAGTTTGTCACAGGAATTTGGAAAAGTGCCCTAAAACTAATATACAGCCACAACACACCATCCTTTCTAAGGAGACTTCTGGGGACATCTGGCCAGTGTGGATGGGTGATTAAACTCAAATTTAGGTTGAAACAAAAGTATTTTCTCAGGACGCAAGCTCAGGGCCCCAAACTGAGTGACTATGGTCTTAAGAGCTGCTAGGCACCAGAGTGAAGTACTGATAGAGAGAAGTGTGCTTGGCTTTGTTTGAAAATTTTAAATAACTTTTGGAGCTCCTGGTGTTTTACATAAAAATGAGATACTCTGTGCAATAGCCAAGACTATCCTGAGGAAACAGGCTGCCCATTGCTTTGTTTTTCGGCCTTCTTAGGAATGTTCTTTGCAGACACACAGCCTGGAAGTTGGTGAGGCTGCTGGAGATGGTGGCCCAGATGCTAGATCTAGAAGATGGCTGGGTCATAAGCCATCAGCCAAGATCCCTGAGAGTGTGGGGTCCAGACAAGAAGGAAGAAGAAATGCTCATGGCATTCCTGTGATCAGCAGGAGCACTTTTTCCTTGTCACAAACTCCCTCTACTGGGGCAAGAAAATCCTTGGAGTATTTGGAGAGTCTTAAGTTGAATTTTCTCTCTCTCTCTCTCTTTTTTTTTTAGGCAATTGGGGTTAAGTGACTTGCCCAGGGTCATACAGCTAGTAAGTGTCAAGTGTTTGGTCTGAGGTCAGATTTGAACTCAGGTCCTCCTGACTGCAGGGTCGGTGCTATATCCACTGAGCCACCTAGCTGCCCCTTTTCTTTCTCTCTCTCTCTCTCTCTCTATATATATATATATCTATATATATATATAATTTATATATATCTTTCTCTCTTTCTCTCTCTCTCTGTCTCTGTCTCTGTCTCTCTCTAATGCATATACAAACTTTATTGTATATGGAACAGGCAAGTTGGATAGAGTTTATTTTTGTTGCCAACATCCAGAGCATCCTGATCTGGGGCATCATAGGCAGACATTGTCCTTCTCTCTATCAGGACAGATTTGACTTTGGCCACACTGATGTATTGCTTGCTTGATGATTTTGTTGACTCTGACATCTATGATGAATACCAGGGCATTGCTGTCTTCAGTCTTCTTCATGGAAAGCTCAGTGGTCAAGGGTAATGATAATGGCAGAGTGATCAAGCTTGTTTCTTCTATGGCACTTTTCCAAGGATATCTGGGCTATGATCAAAGCCAACGTGTCTTGGGTCATTGGAAGATGGGAGATGTTTAGATTTTCTACTTTTTATGACTATGTACACCTTTCTTTCGACACTGCCTTCTTGACCTTCAAGGACTATGACCTAGCTTCTGACTTGGGGCATGGGAGAACCATTTCTTTCTTTGCCTTAGGTGATATCTTGGGGTAATGGATCTCCCCAGGTGCTTCTCACAGGCTTATAGCTCTAACACCTGCTCAAACCTCATCAGGCTAGGGGCAGCTAGGTGGTGCAGTGGCTAGAGCACCGGCCTGAAGTCAGGAGGACCTGAGTTCAAATCCGGCCTCAGACCAAACACTTGACACTTACTAGCTGTGTGACCCTGGGCAAGTCACTTAACCCCAATTGCCTAAAAAACAAACAAACAAACAAAACCTCATCAGGCTTCACCTCCAAAGAGGTCTATCTAATCCATAGATTTTTGTGAACTCCTTGTCCATAAAACTTGCCAATTCCTTGGAGCCACTCGTAACTACCACAGGCAGTGAATTCATTGATCAGGTTGCCGTGGGGATGTCCAGGTGCTAATCTTAATAGAGCTTGCACAAATGTAGGTGGTAGAAGGTAAGCTCCTTGAGGGCAAGAACTGTGACAGTGCCTGACACACAGTAGGCCCTTAATAAATATCGGCTGTTGGACCAGCAATACCGCTACCAGTTTTGTATCCCAAAGGGATCAAAGAAAAGGGAAATGGACCTATTTGTACAAATATATTTATAGCAGCTTTTTTTTTTGAAGTGGCAAAGAATTGGAAATCAAGTGAATGCCCATAAATTGGGGAATGGATGAACAAGTTGTGGTATACGAATATGATGGAATACTATTGTGCTATAAGAAATGATGAGCAGGATAGTTTCAGAAAAACCTGGGAAGATCTAGATGAACTGATGTGAAGTGAATAGAACCAGGAAAACACTGTACCTAATAATAGTAATATTGTAAAGGTGATCAACTATGAAAGACCAAGACAATGCTTCATGACAATTCCAAAGGTCCCATGATTAAAAAAATGCTATGTCCAGAGATAGAACAGATGAACTCTGAATGCAAATTGAAGCATACTTTTTTTACTCTCTTTGTTTTTATTGTTTTATTTTGTTTGTTTTCTTTTGCAACATGGTTAATAAGGAAATATGTTTTGTATGACTTCACATGTATAACTGATATCATGTTGCTTGCCTTCTCGAAGGTTGGGCAAGGGGAGAGATGGAGGGAAAGAATTTGAAACTCAAAATTTTAAAAAATGAATGTTAAAATTTTTTAAAATAAAATTGGAAATATATAGTGAAATAAATAAAAATACATTAAAAAATGTTGGCTGATGAATTGAAAGCAAGGAACTCTTCCAAGAGCAGTACTTATTAGACCAAACTATTGAAGACTTTCCTTGCTGTCTAGAATAGTGTTCCCTGTCACTGGCACCTATCTCCAAATCTGTAAGTCAAGCTCAAAGATCATCCACCACCATGACAGGAGGGAGAAGGGTCATGTCAGGTGACTAGAAGTCTCACTGTGGAGGCATCTGCCTGGCTTCTTTCAGGCTCATTCCATCAGTTCTCTCAGGAGACCTGCTTTGACAAGGTGATAAAGTTGCTGTGTATCTCAGAAGCGGCTAGCTGCTTGAACCAGGAGAATTCATCCCTAGTATCTTAGGCCGTGATGGAAAACTGCATCATTGTCCATTCCAGGTTCGCCACCAGAGAGAAACTGAGCAGTGCACTGGGTATACCTGCCTGTACACAACACCCATAAAGTCTGACTATGCCCTGGACAAAGTCATTAATATTATCAATCATGATGTCATCAGTGGCAAAGGAGAGATCCAAGTATCTGAGGGAAGGCTGTCCCCACTCAAATTCATCATTAGGCATATTCAGATGTGCTCTGAAGGGTTGGTCTGAGGACCACTGAGAAAAAGAACTTTTGCTAATTCAAAGACCCCCACTGTTTGCTGGAGCAGCCATCATGCCCTGAGGCAAGATAGGGCGGAGGAGCCACAGAAGGACTCAGGCAGGCTGAGGCTGGTGGACTGCCTGGGCTCAGGAGTTCTGAGCTTCAGTGGTCTGGGCCAATTGGATGTCCTTACCAAGTTCCCACACCAGGATGCTGAGCCACGGTGAGACTCGGAAAGGAGGGTAAACTGGCCTAGGTCAGAATCAGAGAAGAGCAAAGCTCCTACGCCCATCAGGAGAGGGTTCGAAGCCATGAGCGCTCACTGCATTTCCAGCCTCGTTGAGCTAAGGAGACCCAGTCTCAAAATGGGGCTGAGTAGGGCAGGCGGGGAGAAGAGGAGAAGAGCCAATAGTCAAAGACAAGCAAGTAGGAGATGGAAAGTACAGAGAAGCTGGTGGCTGAAGACCAGGTAGAAGGCATGGGCCAAGTCAGAAAGAGAGCAAGAGCCAGCAGGGCACGCCAGAGACCAGAGCACTCTGAAAGTGAAGCCAAGTCTTCTTCAGAGAAGCCTCTCCTTGCAGCCAGAGCCAACGAGTAACAACCTCGGCCACAGGCACCCCAGCCCCCCACAGCAGGAACCAAAGGTCAGAAATTTGGGAGGAATTACATGAATAGGCAGCAATGACATTCTGGTGAAACGCAAACCAGCAGGAAAACACACTCCCCGCGCTGTTCCTAGCTCCCATTCGGGGCGCCTCCCCCCTCGTTCCCTGTGCCCTCTCCTTACCTTGGCCTTCTTCATCTCTGCCACCTCGGCCTGGAGCTTCTTCAGCTCCCTCTCGTAACGGGACTGGTTCTTGAGCAGCCGGGCATGCTCTTTCTGGGCTGCCTGCAACTTCTGTAGGTCGCGGTTCATCTCCCGCAGACGCTTCTCGTAGTCCGCCTTGATCTTGTTGGCCTTCTCCTCTGTGTAGCACTCCATGGTGCCTGGGGCGGAAAGAGGCGCAGGGGCTGAGCCTCAGAACTAGAGCCCGGGGCTCCGGACAAAGGTGGGGCGGTGTAATGGAGGCGCGACAGATGCATGGCTCTGTGCTGTTAACTCGCTGTGTGAACCTGGTTAAGTGAATCACTTCATCCCACTATATACACACGTACACATGTGTACATACACACCGATATGCACACGCACACACATATACGCACACATACATGCATGTACACACTCATGTACACACACATACACCCTGTACCCTGCTGCCCATCTGCCCACACCCTGGTCCTTGCTCTTGAGTTGTAGTGTAGTTACCGATCTAAATTCACCTCATCCCTCAGGATCTGCAACCAGTGAATTGGTGACCCTGGACTTGGCCTGTTCTTCTGGACGGAGCCCACCTAATGCTACTCTACCCTTATCCCTATTTCCTGGTCCTCTCACATGTAGCCAGCCAGCCACCCCGAATCTGAGCATGCTAGGGACTCTGCAACGTATTCTCATCATGCCAGCGCATATTTAGAACAGTGCCTGGCACATAGTAGATGCTTTTCTCAGATTGGATTAGATAGATGAAGGTACCCTTTGGCTCTAGCAGCTTGGTGGCAGAGTGGATAGAGCCTTGTTAGACCTGGAGTCCGAAAGACCCAAGTTCAAATCTGTTCTCAGATATTTATTAGCTGTGTGACCCTGGGCAAGTCACTTAATGTCCATTTGCCTCAGTTTCTTCAACTTAAAATGAGGATAACAACAGCACCTTCCTTGCAGGGTTGTTGTGAGGATCAAATGAGATAATATTTATAAAGCACTCAGTGCAGAGCCTGGTACAAACTAAATGCTTATTTTCCCTCCCTTTCCCTAACAGAGCTCCATTTGGGATATGAAGAAAAGGGGGTAGGAACATCCTGGAGGAGGCACCACTCCCGTCATTAGCTCCCTAACTTGATGGCTAAAATGCACCTTCATGTGGCAAATAAGTGGGGGATGTGTGTGTGCTGGAGGGAGAAGGCCACCGTGTGAAAGAGAGGGCTGCGAGAAGAGAATGGGAATTGGGAGGACCAGAAATGAGCAGGACACAGAGGGAACTGGAGAATATTCGAAGGAAGGCAAAGAGAATGAACCGAAGGAGGGTGTATGGAGGAGGGATCTGGAAGTCTGAGGAGAAATCCCTACTGACATGGAATAGAAGTTCCAGGGCTGGACAGGTTTGCAGGCTGCAGATCAATCAGCCAATCAATAATCAATACATACCAATTAGTGTCTACTATGTGCCAGGCATCGTTCTAAATATGTGCTGGCATGATGAGAATATGTTGCAGAGTCCCTAGCATGCTCAGATTCCGGATGGCTGGCTGGCTACATGTGAGAGGACCAGGAAATAGGTATAAGGGTGGAATAGCATTAGGTGGCCTCCGTCCAGAAGAACGGGTCAAGTCCGGGGGCACTGGTTATAGCTCCTGAGGGTTGAGGTGCCTATAGATTGGTAACTAGACTGACACTCCTTGAGGGAAGGGACCAGGGTGTGGGCAG